CGAATCCTTGGATTCGTTGTCGCAAGAACCTTTTGGACGTGGTTTCAAGGGTAGCTTTTGGGTGTAGGCATGTTCAACTTGGAGGATTGTGAAAGACCTACAAGGTCCAAACCTATTGACAATCCTCCAAGTACCAACCTACAAGGTCCAAACCTACAGGGTCCCAACCTATGTCTGTTGACACATGGGTCGTGACCGGAGCCCGACGGTCGTCCGGCCGCGAACGACCGGACTCAACCAGTCCGTCTCCTGGTTTTGACCCGACGCTCCGTGAGTTCACAGCGGTCCCTCAAATCCATATCCCAAACACTCCATGGGACTGCCATATATGCCGATCAGTTGGGGTGGTTTGGGGGGTCAATGTAGGCATATATGACATACATGGAGTGTGTGAGATATGGATTGGTTCGGGTCCAGACCCCTGACCAGTCATGATGAGGAAGCTCCGACCCCGGACCAACGATTCGGGGCCCAGTTCGGGTCGCGTTTGGACCCAGCCACATCTTCGACGTCTTGTGAAGGCCCTCCCCTTCTGTGTTCAGTCCCAAGAAACGATGGATGTTGTTCGTTCAGAGCGCACGGATTTGTCAGAACGACATACCTTCCAAGCAGTAGTGTACTAAGAAACACACAGACGATCACATACGCAAACACACACATAGGTCATAGGTCATATCTTGTGCCTCAACCTGGAAAGTGACGTTCCAATCTTTCCAACTGACTTGCAGTTCCTTCTTCAACCTGTAACGTGACCATCAGAGGATGTCCAAAATCAACCTCAATCAATCGACTTGCAGTTCCTGCTTCTTCATACGAACTCGATCACCCTGACTGATGGAGCACATCGTTGGATATTGGAATAAAATGAAGAACATTCTCTCAACATCGGTTGCCCAGTAGAACGAATTGTGATCAGTCTCGTTCGTTCCTTGTATTCCTTGTCATGGAAGTCAAAGCAGGACTGTCCAGCTCAGAAACTCCAGATCAGCTCGGTCGAGGGTTTGTGACCTGCCTACCACTGCCTGGTCCATAAAAAGACACCTGATTGAGCACAGTCAGATGGCAGTCAGATGGCAATCATCGCTGCGGGCTGCAGAAAGGACCGCATGATCTGCTAAAGGACGAGAGGTGGAAACCGAGATCGAACGCTCTCGCTCTCATCCAGATCCCACCGCAGAATCGCAGCTCTATGGAAGACTGCTTCTTCAAACCAAGAGTGGATACCTCAGGGACTTGTTCCACTGGTTTGTCTTTAAAGAAAAAGTAATTATATATTATATTATGTAAAAAGGAGATGAGCAACAAAACCCCCCTTTACACAACATTTTAATGTGAAATTTGATTCCCTAGAAGAGAACAAGTGCCTTACAAATCGGCAAAAGAAGTATTCGTGACCATCCCTTGCCCTTATTGAGTCTTTTTGGACGGAACGCAAGCCCTGCCTGCCCCCAAGTCAGCACATTGCTCAATTTGTAGATCACCCCTTACACCCAGTGTTCCAGCAGTGTCCAGTTCCCCAGAGTGTCGTATCTCCAAGTATCCATACTTGGTCCAGACACCCGCGTTGCAACAAGGAAGTGTTAAAGGTGTTTGTTCAAGAACATCTTGAAGTTTGGGAATTTCAACAGAAAGCCATAGAAAGCCCGAGGTATCCTAAGACAAGCCCGGCGATTGAAATCGGCCCTGAGCGAATGGCAGCCATTCCTGTCGTGATGAACACGTGGTCTGGTGGCTAGTGTAGATCTAAAGGGCATAAGCACCAAGTGTTCAAAGTTGTATTGGATCAGAGTGGGGAACACCACGTGATGCTCAGCAACATTTAGCAAGCCCTTCTGCCCAGCTTGCAGTCAACTGGCGCCAAATATGGATATGTAGAATGAGGTCCCCCCAGTTCGACCTCTGGGAAAATCAAACACCAATTACTCTCCCTGGAACGTCCTCATGGTTACGTGGATGGCACCACCTGTTTGGTCGTGGATGGAATTCAGGGTCTTCCAACGAAAGGGGCCCAGGCCACGATCCCCATGGGGCCGTTCCAGGGAGTGTTCCGGCAGGTCCCCCGAATGGCTGCACACCCATATACCAGCACCTTCATCAAAGGGGTCACCCATGGAGGTCCCGGATGGTAGTGGGCTGGGGCTTCCATTTATGAACCCTTTGATGAAGGTGCTGGTGTGTGTTCTAGATTCGGAAGGAAAATCAAATCTTGTCACGTGCCATCCACATCTTCGATCTGTCGGGGAACTCACGATTTGTCTGAGACGTTGTCTGTGTGAACTCTCAATCTCATGTCACCAACAAACAGGAATCAGAGTTGTCCTGGTTGGTGGTGTCAATTCACCTGAACAATCTGAGTTTTCTGCTTTTCATGCCCCAAGTATATAAAGGTTTGAATTGGTTTGACCAGTACGTGCAACCACCATGCAGTTTCCACTACCAAACAGCACTAGGGAGTCCTCACACCAAAAAAGGAATTGGCCAAACATCCGCATGTGTCAGCGGGTCGGCTTGAGGGAATCCGACTGAGCACCTTCGGCTTCGGCTTCGTCCTACGAAAGCTTCCTCCGATGGCTCTGTCCTCCGATGGACGAAAGCTTCGCTCTCGTGGGCGAAATCGCCGTCTCCGTGACACCTCAGTCCGCCTTCTTGCTCTTGGCTTCCGCCTCAGTCTCCGCGGCAGGCCGTCGCGCGTGCGGCTGGAGGTGCGCGACTCACGCGGTCGGGTCGGTCTCAGCGTCGCTGGGCGGTCGGGAGGATGGTGGAAGGAGCCGAGAGGGATGGTTGGCGGTTCGAATGGTGAGAAGCCGGAGTCGAACAACCGTTGGATGATCTCTTTCGAAGTGCTGTCTGAAACTCTGGGATACCATCTGCTCCTTCAGCAGGAACGCTTCAAGACCGTCCTGGTGAACCAAGTGTTTCGCTCTGCCGCAGACCGGAGCGCGAAGAAGACCGTGTAGCCGATGGCCGCTGAAATCTCTTGACTCCCCGGTGTTTGTTGTCTCCTCTAGGTTGTATCCTCCTGCCCTTGGTGGCTGGCCCAACTGATTACCCCCATGTATGCACCCGCAAAAAGAAGCCAAGAACGACCACGCCCACGTGTCACCCGGTTCGGAATCCACCATCACTTGGATCCGCCAGACCTCCAGGGCCTCAATACCCTCAATGAGGTGTTGCATCGCCTCCTGCGCGTGTGGAGCAGCTCTTTTCGACCTGTTCCGTGCCCCACATCTGCGGTGTTTCGCGTTCCGTCCTTTTTCAGACGCCCCGCAAGCCGCGTCGCCGCTCGCGGCGGGTTTGTTTTCTCCGTGTGCCGGGATCGAAAGTTGGAAGGCCGTCGAGTCATGTCGAGTCGCTCTTTTTTGGTTGGTCGTCTCGTGTGTGGTCGGTGGCTTCTTCTTTTTTCAGGGCTTAGATAGTATGGGACCGATGGAAGAAATTGGTTGAAGAATGGTGGAAGGAGTGCGGGACATTCGGCCAGTGGATCTCCTTCTCCAGTGTCTTTGCGGCCTCGACTGAGGGCTCCCACAAGTCCACGTAGCCAGCCAGATCTGGAAACTGTCCACGTAGCCAGATCGGAATTTCTTTGTGGCACTTTCAGAATGGAAAGTGAGGTAAGGCTCCCTTTGGATGTTCACATGAAACCTTACTCTTGTCCCATGACTCAGGACACCACAAAATATCCACCAAAGTCCACAAAGCCCATGGAAGAAAAGGTACTTGACTGGTCTTTCATGAGAATGTCCTTTTAAACAAAGTTGTTCTTTAAGGTTCATCCCCACTTAAAGGTCTTACCAGGTCTAGGTATTACAGTAAGTGTTTCATATAGTGTTTTTGTTTGCTTTTCTTTCAAAACAAATGTGTTCTTTCATCCCCAGCCCAAACCGTATGAGACATTTCCAGACCTTTTTGCCGCTTCTCCGCCTCCCTGCTCAGCAGGAAAAGCCCGCTTGCCCGGACTCTGGGAGGCTTCCTGGCCGAGGCACTGTTAGTTGCAGCTGTGACGTCCGCTGTTCGAGGGACATGAAGAAAACCAATTGGTTTCAAGATACATGGAGTTGGAGTGCAAACCACCTGTTTGGTAAAATGATCATCCGAACGAACGGGACCGTTTTCCTATCCACGTTGAACCATGATTATTCCAGGGACTGTACATCCTTTTGGCTTGGATTCGAGCTGTCTTGGTTCTTTTTCGATCTCATCCAATAGCAAGGCCCTCAAGAAGGGTAGACCACCAAAACCTCGTAGTCTTCCGAATAGAGTCTTCTTTCGGTAGTGACCAGAAGATCTGCTTCCCTCTGCCTCTCAACAATCATGGAAGTGGAGGTCATGCTCTTCTCTACAAACATGCTTTTTTCTCCACTTCCATGATTGCTGATTGTTGCTGGATAATGGAGGGAGCAGTATGGCAGATTGTTCATGCTGTGCTCCTTCTAGGTCCACTGACTGGTTGAAAGCTTTGTCCGAACAAGCTCACTGGTAACTCAGAAGTGCACCACAGTGCCTCTTGCTGTTGTCTCGCCCAAGAGCTCTCTTTGTTGATAACATCTCTTCGCAAGCGGCTGGACTGATTGGTCCTACAGTACACATGTCTCCAGCCACACTTTCTCGTGTGAAAAACATAGAGCATAGAGTGCAATAGGGTGGTCACCGCTGAACCAGATCGGGACCGAGTGGTACCCTACCTAGTGTTTGCCCTCTCGCTTGCCAAGTTATAGTCCAAAGGTGCCACAAACTGGAGTTCTCTGACAGCCAGTTTCAGTTCCTTTCACCCTCATAGGGTGGCTGCGTTGGTTTTTGCTCCGAACCACACACTGTGGGCGACCGTGGATAGCCATCCATTGATCGATCCCCATGGCCGACCGAAACCCATCGCTCAGCCAAAACACGTCGAAGAGTGTCGAGAACCACTGAAACTGGGAATCCCCGGAATGTGACTGACCGAAACCAGTCCACCCAAAAACCTCTGCACGACTCCCCTCCCCTCCCTTCGGCGCCCGACGTCAAGACGGTCGGCTCGCCAGGACGTGGTGCCGCAGAGCGGTCAGGATTCGGCCCGGCAGCAGCTGCGGCGCGAGGCGAAGGAGATCCTGGCTCTGCATGGAGCGTGGAGCGTGCCATGCTCTGACCTGCAGAGTCATGGTCATATTAGGTCTATCCCATGACCAGGGGATAGAAGATGAAGGTTCAGTTCCAGGCCGACGTCTTTACAAGAGCGACGTTCTTGTGAAACCCGACTGTTACAAGGGAATAGGACAAACCCAATCATGATATCTTGATACAAAGCAACTTGACTGAAAATGGTCCTGCTTGGTTGGGGTCTCCTTTTCAAATTCATCCGACATGTTCCTTTGCGAGCAGCTCCACGGAAAAACAAAACGTCACTTTCCGCTACATCATTCCTTCGACTCGGGTTGAGGACAACACTGTCAGGCTGAGATGACTCGGGATGCGGCTTCATCCCCAGTGTGCTCTACAGTTGCCCTGTGGTCTACACGGTCTGTGCCACGGTCCGATCACCATGGAGCGTGTGAAACATCAGCGACCGGTCATCTGTGTTCAGCGACCGGATCACCCAACAAAACATCTGTGTTCGTGGTTTCAAACCCCAAAAACCGGCTTCGTCCGGTCGTAGGGTTTGATGGGGCGTCCGTCCGGTCGTACGGATTCCTGAACGTCCAATGGACTGGATCGTTGGGCGGTCCGGTGACCCCAAACGGAGTGGTTTCCGTTGGGCAGTCCGGTGCCCGGCGAGCACCGTCTGTCGGTCCCTGGACCGGCAAAAACGCAGTTAGACATTGAAACCAATAGGTTGCTTCTAGGTTGGAGGCCAATCGCTATTAGGTTGGAGGCCATCGCTCTTGGAAACCATATAACTATATAGTAGTAACATGTGAGTAGTCTTTTACATACTAAGATATAATCAGTGTTCCCGATCAGTGTTCCCGTTTCAAAGAGAATAAGCAATTTTCAAAAGAGTTCTTCGGAACATAATCCATCATCTGCATCGCTACAAGAAAAAGGGCCCTAAACGTTCCTGAAGGCGCTGGAGCTGGCCCACAATTAGGCAATCACTGACATTTGCAATCAGGTTCGATGTCTACACATAAATGAGGTAGGTGGGAAGCTTAAAGAACTGTGAAGGCCCCTCTTGACTAAAGTCAGAGTCATGGCATGGGAACTCTAAAAATTCAAGACCAGAGGATGAAAAAGGTACCCGGTGCAGAAAAAAAGCGGGATGCCAGTCGTCACGAAGGGGACCAAAAGTCCCACGTGGCACGTGGCACATGCAATGGTTGAGTCCTGGCACTGTATGGGATCCAACTGGAGAGGATTCAGCTCGGCAGCCGCCTCGCCGAAAGCAACGTCGGTCGCGATGCAATCGGTCAAAACCCCGCAGAAGGATCGGAGAAATCGCGGAGCGAGGGGGTCGTGCGAGATGGGGGGTCCGCTGGGTGGACAGGTTGGAAGTACCCGCTACATAACGTCCAAGTTCATCCAATCTTGTAAGACTGACGGGTGCTTAGTAGGCCAATAAGGCTTTGAAAAACTGCATGACCCCCCACAAGAGATACCTTAAGATCCAACCAACCTGCTTCCTTACATTTGCTTACTTACCAAGTCGCACTGAGAAGAAGATCAGCCCAAGAGAATCTACCAAAGACGGCGACTCAGACAGCGACTCACACAGGTCTGGGCGCTTTTGCCCTCAACCTGGTGCTTCTTCCTGGGTCCTTGCTTCCAGTATGGCGCCCCGATCGAGTCGCGTCCTCTTGCTCCGTTCGTTGCGATGCCCTTCGTGACGAACGTAGCTCATACTGTCCGGCAAAAACAACTCTCCCTAGGGATCCAAGTACCTTCTCGGAAGGTGATTGGAGGCACTCTTATGCAGGTTTTGAGGGTCCAAGTACCTTCTGAGAAGCTACGACTGGATCCCGACAGACCGTCTAGTCGGACCTCGACGACTGCTCGCCGAGAGGCCACGGCTCGCTGCCAGCGGCTCGTACGCACGAGGCAGGCGAAGGTACCTCCCAGGCCTCGCCGTAGACACAGGACCTTCCGTTCGTCTGATCAGTGAGGCCCAACCACTTGGGATTCGCTGCAGAACTGGTGTTTCACGATGTCTATCCTCCTTCATCCCTTTTCTGTTTCCGTTCGGTGCGGTGAAGCCGGGTGTGAGTGAAAATCGTCCGTCTTATTTACAGGTTTCAAATGGTTTCAAAGCGAAGAAAAGAAAGGACAACACCGAAGCTTCGGATGCGGGGTTCGGACCTTGACGAAAAAAACCGCCCGAGATCTCCCGCGAACGGCTGCGCTGAGCCGGAACGCCGCTCGTGGAAACCCGGAACGACTGCTGAGAAGGATACAGCAGTCTAGCAGCTGGCTAGGCAGCTATTCCCTGAAATACGACATGGAAGTGTACAAAACGCTACAAGTCCAAAGACCCTGTAAAACCTGGTCTTTTACCTCCTTAAGTATTGGTTTTGTATGACCATCCCCAGTAAAATGAGGTCTTTGACTTGTAGGGAAATCTGTGAAGTGGAGTGAAACTGACGAAGTGAGCGTCTGCCAAGACGTATTATCAAGAGGACATAGTTCAGCAAGGTTATCGCTTTTGAGGAGGGCATATCGCTGTTGCAGGGTTTAGCCCAATTCCTGAAATGCACGACCGTTCTTTACTAAATTAGTCCTTGCACGTTTTGGCGGTTGCTCATTGCTCATGTGAGCTGCAAAATGTAGAAATTCCATAGAAATCCCATGAAATCCCCGACTCCCTCAGAACTTTGAGCTTTTATCCAACCCCAAATTCATCACTTGGAGAGTCATGAGTCGAGTCCTTGCAGAGCTACCTCATCTCATGTTCGATGCAACCGGTCGATGATGTAGGCAGTCTCGCATATTCGGTGTTCCGCTTTGCTTCCTTTGGAAGAACCTGTTCGACTTTTATGGGGATTGGAAGATTGACCTACCTCGGGGTGCTTCGAGGCCTCAACGTAGGTGTGCTTCGTGGGACTGGGCACCAGACCAGCTTGAAAGCTGATCTGATTCGACCGGAAAGCAGGTACCCGGTGAGAGGCGAATAATTCTTCGGATCTGGACATGAAACAGCTGCCAGCTTGGGCTAGGTTTGTGAATCTTCCATCTGTAACTATAATGTTCAACATCTAGAACCCTTCAGAAACAGTTCTGAACGCCATTTCGGTTGGAAGAGTCTTGGCCAGTTTGGTCTAGTCTTGTCTCATAGTTTCTGGAGTCATCCACTACCCCTTGCTGGTTTCGCTTCTGTCACGCTTTCACTTCAACCCGCATGGGTTCTCCGGGCCGGTGCTCGGACCCGCCCACACTCGACCTCTTCGACCTACGACCTACGACTGAAAGCACAGAGCGAAAAACGAAATCACCACGGAAGATGGTCGCTTCGTTCGCACCTTCACAGCCCCCAGTCTGGGGGCCCTAAGTATGGGAAGCCCCTGCAGGGTGGGCTGTCAGTCTTCCATGGTTGGGCCATGTTTGGAGGATGCTTTGGCGCTGCCCCAAAGAAAAAAAACAAGCTCTCTCCCTCTCAACTCCGTGGGCGAGATCAACGTGGACGACTGGGTTCCAGAGCTGGGACCCCGCCCAAAAGAAACGCAAAGAATGCAAAGAACAATGAATGTTGTTGACTGAAGAACCTGCTTTGCCATCGTGAAACAGCGTAAAAGTATCGTTTCTGGGGACTAGGAACTCTATAAGAATTCAGTTGGTCCCCACGACCTGCTTAGGGTTCCAATCAGCAAGTGCTACACTCTCGTGGCTTAAGAGTGCTGGTTGTTTGGCAAAAACACTTAAGATTAATTATACCAGGACCCTCTAAGGGGTGCCCAATGGAAGCCTATAGGTAGTCTGGGGTAGTCTATTGGACACCCCGACAGGAGGGTCCTGGTATATGATGATTATATTGAAACTCAAGATATTTGTATAAGGATTATATGAAACTCATGGTTGTTGCTTGGAATCCCAGAACCTACCTGGCTCAGTCGTCCTTCTGCGGCCTGCATCTGAAGCGTCCACCGGTGCGACGCCAAGTCGTCCTCGGCGAAGAAGCAGCGCCAGGCAGAACCTGCCGCGACGCAGAAGTCGACGCAGTCGGGGCAAAGGGAGCGTCCCAAAATTCCAGCGCTGATCGAAGTTGGAGCATCTTCTTTTGGGAATGAGGGTCCAAAATCGAGGTCACGAAAAAGATCAGGGTACGAAAATGGGACGTACCTTTTGGAGATGCTGCTTGGAACTTGGGGCCCAGTTGGCAGCCACGGAAAGCGGCCCCGTGGCACAGCGCTGCTGGGGAGGGAGGGGACCAGCTGCAGCTACGCGGCCGCCACGTGCCCCAAGCCGCCAAAGATGCCACAGCGATGCAGGAGTTGAAGGTGATGACCTCAGGCAAGGGGTCGAACAGTCGGACTTCTGATCGTCTTCACTTCCTGATCGTCCATGCACTCCGTCTTCCCACAAACGATCACAGCCTAAGAGCAATGGCCTCCAACCTAATAGAGGGGTCGATCCTTAGTCTTCTCTCAGCTGGGTCAAGTTCATGACGATTCTTCCCACAAGGACTGGACTCGACTGCCGATTGGTCAGCACACCCTGTCAAAACTTTGACAGTGTCAGCTTCCTTTGCAGAAGATTTGCAGCTTTCGCCTCCTTTCGCCTCAAACTTTCGATCCTCGTTGTCTTGTTGAGTTGCCAACTCAGTCGCTCAGTCGATCCGACGGCGCTCCCCGGACCGTCGCTCCGCGCATCCGAGCCCCCCGGACCGTCGCTAAGCGCCTGCGTGTCATCTCACAGCACCTGAGAAGTGCGCGGAAGGAATGCCACGGGTGGAAGTGGGTTCCACCCACCACCCGGTGAATAGAACGGAGCACCATGCGCCTTCAGCCACAAGACCCTCAAGCTTCGAGCCTCTTTTTTCATGCGAGGACTCAGCTTGGATGAGACGTGTTGGCCCGTGTTGGCCCGTGTTGGCATTATTTCTTCCCTCATGAAGTACTCGTTGTAGAATCTGTTCCCCCAGTCGTCTGAGTATGAGATGACCCTGTTGCAGAGTAGAATCTGGAACTTCTCAGCCGAAGGCACTTGACAGCTGCAGTTGCCCAGGCGCTGGTGGCCTGCACGCGGCGCTGGTGGCCGCACTAGGCAGCTCAGTCTCATCAACAGGCAGTTTCACCACACACCAGGCGCGTTTCGTGGCCCGCAAAAACTCCAAAACCTTGGCACGAAACGATCCACTTGATGATTCTATAATACCCAGACGCTCCAAACAGCCCTTGGCCCCTCAAAACCTAGGAATTGGTTCGACCCCAGACCATCCCAGACCCCTCCATATGAGACCCCAGACCTGGGTAGATTAGATGTAGATCCCTTTGGATCCCTTTAATCCATACTAACATGTTTTGTTACTAGTAGCTTAATTGTTCCTAGTAGTACGGCCAGGAGCCCCGTTCGTAGCGTCCGAACACTCCGTTCGTAGCGATGCCACGAGCCCCTAGTACCAGTAGCTTCTTGTTCCTGCTCTTCCTTGTAAAAACACCAACCCTGGTCGAACGTCCAGGACTTCGACCGAGAAAAGGATGCTCTGGCCCCTTGGTGATCCGAAGGTCCACCTTCGGCGACATGCCGAAAACCAGGACCTGCCACCGAACCCGCGAAGGTTTTGGGGGCGTGCTTTTGGAACGCCGCCATGGCCGCGGTGGCGCGTTTTGCGCGAGGGGTCGCACGCGAGCCGGGGTCTCCCCAGCTCCGGGCCCTCGGACTGGTTCCACGCAGGACTCTCCGCTCCTCGCAGGCGGAGATGGCGGCGTTGCTGGCGGCATCGTCCTGAGACCTCCGAACAGTCGTCGTATCGCGAGGAGTCGAACCTACCGAACAAGGTGGGGTTTGGTTCCTTCCATTGCTGGAATTGGTTTTACCTGGAGTGATAGGAGATTCTCAAAGGGTGCAGCCCGTTGGTTCAGAACTTGGGACACCTTGCGATCATCGGTGGACTGTGGACGCCGCTCTTTCAGAGGCTGTCGAGCATGCGCTGACATTCCAAAACGCTTTGACATGGACGATTGGCTGTGGAGCAGTCACTATGTGGAAGTCGGTGCTGCAAAACATACCAAGAGAGGTTAAGTGACCGTAAATAGGACCTTACTGCGGTACCGAACTGGGATAGTCTAGTTCAGGTCCTTCAACCTCTGTTGGTATCCAGAATGGCCATGCTGGACCAGTGCTGCATGGCAGTGCTTCCCTGAAAACGTCGGATGTCAAGCCGGTGCCCGCATGGCATCCGAACTGAGTGCCCCCCACCCTGTTTGGCCGAAGCCGTCACCGGAGCCTTCACCGTGGGTGGAGTGCTCTGCCCACGTCTTCCGGCGTTCCAAAGCAGTCCAAGTGGCACACCCAAGGAACTGGCGAGGTCCACCACCGACAGGACCATGGCCTTGCTAGTGAAAGTTTCAGAATGGGTTTCAATTGCATTCAACTACCAGGACCTTCAAACAGGTTGTTAATGGACACCTCTTAACCTCTAAGGGGCTATCAATAGACACCCCTTAGGGTGTCCCGGTATAGATCAGACATGGTACTCTCAGTATAAATTTGCCAAGCTAGAAGAAAGGAAACACACACAAGGATGTCTCAAGTCCTGATGAAAAGGATGAACCCACCTAAAGAACCTCCTGGTTTCTGCATCTATGACCTGGTGAGTTCTAGGTTGATTATGTGGTGGTTGTATTTTTGTAGTGCCTGTCACAGGACTCACGGCAGTTGTTTCCTCCGGTGAAGGGTTCAAAAACACCCGACCTCCCAACAGCCGACGACAGAGTGTTTTCATGAATTCCATCGAACCAAACAGAGTGTTTCACCCGCATAGGTCAAAACAGCGAAAACCCTGGTTGTTCTCCCACCAAACATGACAAACCCCATGGCGAATCCTCCGCGGCTCCTCCTCTCTGAACCGCAGGGGTCCTGACCCGAAGGTCGAACACCGGACGGGCGAGGGTTTTCTCCCAAAAAGCTCCACAGCTCAAGCGCAGTGGCGCCCGTGGCCCCACCCACGACGGGAACCCACGAAGCTGCGCTGGGCACCCAGGAAGCTGCGCTGCGCGACTGGGCAGACTGCGCCAGGTGCGTCAGAGAGAACGGGTGAAGCCGCAGGCCTCCAGCGCGCGCCGCCTGCGAACTTGGTGAAGCTCCGAGAAGGCTTGTGTCAAGTACCATGATTAGGAACATGTTGGAACGAACTTACTTAAGTGCTTCAGGGAGGTTTCAATCGATTTTGCAGAGGATCCGATTGGTCCTTCATCGGTTGCCCTTATCTACCATTCCGCTTGAGCGATACTCACAGTGTTGGTTTCGTCTTTGCTGCATGCCCAAGTCATAAAGCAGCGGTAAAATTCGTAGAAACTGAGAACATGGACAATGCTGTGAAACCTGGCTAGCTGGAATCACGCACCTTGTCTTCCCAGACGCTCCTGGACCCTCATATGCAGGGGTCTGGACCCGAATTGTTTGGAGCGGTCTGGACCTTCTCACCAGCCCCCTATGATTTGGTTCGGGACCCTATCAGGCTGTTTTCACGGAGCGTCTGATCTTCTACATGGGGGGATGGTGGCCTGTCAGGATGCCACTGTGGGGTGGAATGAAAGATAAAGTGAGCTGAATGGTTGATCGTTTCGCGCCGCCTCATATGCCAAACTGGATGATTCGGGATGTGAAACCTTTTCGCCTGGCCAAGGCTGCAATGAGTGACTGAGGGAAAAAAACAAAAAACAGCAACTCATAGTAGGCAGCACTCGCGTGCACTCGCCTTTTTTTCGGGCACCATGTACCGTGATGCGGTTCCACAAACTCATCATGGCGGGAATGAAACAACAGATCTTCACTCCCGCCCGTTCGGGTCACGCAGGAGAGGAGGGAAAGAACACGAAAAAGCCGATTCAGAGCCCACCAACAGAGGTTGAAGGACCTGAACTAGACTATCCCAGTTCGGTACCGCAGTAGGTCCTTATGAGGTCGGTCACTATCCACCTCTCTTGGCAGTCATTGGTTTCGCCGATCGGGAAACACATCCGACCGCCGACCGATCATGACGAGGTGGTCGCACCGGTCGCACGGCGAAGGTCGCTTCGCCTCGAAGCGTTGGGCCGCCCGTGCCCAGGATCCGTCGGCCGAGCGCGACGAGCTCATGCCTGGGACGGTGGTCGTGGTTACTAGGCATGGCCTCCAACTAGCTCGGCATGGCCTTCAACCTACCTAATTACTAGCCTAGTGGCCTCCAAGCTTATACAATGGAGCCGGCGCGCTTGGCGCGGGCACGTGTGGCTTCGCCACGCTCGCTTGGCGCCCCAGCCGCCCGGCGCCCGGCGAGGGAAGGAGTGATGTTCGGTGCTTCGGTGTGGGGTCGGGGGAAAGGCCTCGTTGCCTCGTGGCGTCGAAGCCTCGATCAGGTCGAATCGGGCTGATCAGGTCGCTGAGAAGGTGAGTTGTAGCTGATCAGGTAGCCTGTGGGGCGTCCAGGTAGAAATCCAGGAGCGTCAGGTGGCGTGCAGCTCCACTCTAGATGTTTGTCTCGCCCGAGCCACGTTAATAAAAGGCTGGTTGGTGCCCCAGAAAAACCACAGGAAAAAGTGAGAAACCACTGGAAGATCCATTTGGACCATCTGCGAAAACCAGAACAAGATTGATTCGGTTTCGTGACCAAGAAACGCAGCGTGGTTTTGTTCGGGGATTTCTACTCGTAGCCTGAAAAAGAATGCAAACTCTCCAAACCTAGTGTTCATACCGGACGGGCCCTCTGCGACAGGTATTTTGGTTGTCCCAATTCTGTCCTTTCTTTTTCCCGTACACCGGTGTTTCACATCTCTCGGTTTTCCCTTGCCAGGCCGCTGACGAGGTCCTTTCGCACCAGTGCCACCTCCATGTCCTTCGTGAAACACACCCGACGTGATCTCACACGCGGGCCGTTCCAACCCCAGCGAAAGCAGCAGACTCTTTGGAACACTGCAGACTCGATGCAGCGTCTTCGGAAAAAAATGAACCATTATAACTTATATAACTACTATTCATCATTCATCTTATTTCATCTAAAGAACTTCAATGCTTCGCGGAAAGCTAATCGCGTGTCATTCTTTCGCCTCTAACTTCGCCTGGTGCAATCAAGAAGGCTTTGAACTAGAATCCCAATCAAGATGTCTTGCAGGAACACAACATCCAACCGAATCAGCATGTGTTCAAGCCATTTCAAGCACCACAGAAGCACGTTCCCCGAACCCAACTCAATAAAGGACCTTCTGCTCTCTGGTACAACCTATACATCCCTGGCTTAAAAACCAAAAAAAGGAAACCCTCCAAGCGTCTCTGAGAATCAGCAGGGAGCTCTCCCAGTACTTGTTCCCCACGATGCCGGCGTTCCAGACCTCGGCTCGGACGGTCCAGATCCGACCCGCCGGACGGCGACCCCGTTCGCGGGGGTTGGCCCCGCATCGGGCCGTTCGGGACGGGCTGTTTTCACGAACACGGAGCGTCTGGCGTGTGGGAAGGTTAGAATCGTGGTTCAACCCCTCAAGACATGTAAAACGATTTCAAACCTTGGGGGGGTTGAGATATAAATTCTATACGTACTATATTATGTGTAAGGTGCGCATTTTCACACGTGTGAAAAGCCTGGGCACCAAAGAAGTCAGCTAAGACAAAGAAAGAATAACTATATAGCTCTACCAGCAGTCACAAAGGGGTGCTCAATGGAGGTTAGGGGTGCTCATTATCCACTCACTTAGGGACTAAACACCACCCCTTTGTGACTCCTGGTATATGGCTATCAAAACCCAGATCTTCCTTCGTTCGGCCCGGGCGGCGCCGAAGCTTCCGACCAAACAAGGCACCGCGGTCCGAAGCCCTCGGACCCCACCCACCTAAAGCCCTCCCACACCGGCCATACTCTGCACCTGGTGGGTGGCCGTCCGACTTTTAGAGACGTTGCGCGTGCTGCGTTGCTATGACAGGGACTCCCCGGTGACTCCCCCTCATGCGGTTGAAAGAAAAAACAGGAACGCCTGGAGGACTCGACCCAGCACCATGCAGGGATTGGAATGAAGTGTTCACCAGCAAGGTCGCTAGGCCCAGGGAAACGTCCCACTATAGACAAGGTCGCTAGGGAAACGCTCCTTGCATTCCAACAGACCAAGATCAGCGTGGTTAGTGATGGCATTTTAGTTCAACAATCTGACATCCTTGGTACCTTGAACATCACTTTCGAACGTGAGAGCAAAAGGGTTGAAAGGGCCAGCACTTAGAGCTAGAAAGAAAGAAAGAAAGGAATGACAGAAAGAAAGAAAAGAAAGAAAGAAAGAAAGGAATGACAGCACCCTCCAGCCAAGACGTCCGACACCGTCCAACATTCCATCCTTCTGTCACCTTCCAACATTCCAGTCGTCCCTCTCTGGGGCTTCACACCAAGACTTCCAGCTCCCAGTTCGCACGACCTGCGCGTCCGTCTGAACCGGTCTCAACCGGTCTGAACCGCTGTCGGTCAACCCTCCACCGCCGAGTCACAAGAGAGGTGGAGAGTGACCTGAACTAGGACCCGTCACCTGGGGTCAACTGGGATAGTCTATAGTCGAACTAGGGTCATCCAACCTCTGTTGGGTGAGAGTGGTCGAGGTGGAATCGGATCCAATCTACGAAAAAGGGGCCATCCGGGCAGGTGCTTGTTCGCGCGCCGGCCACCCCCGCCCTGCAGTCGCTTGAAAAAACCCGACAGGACCTTCACCGACACCACCGGAACGCGCCCCTTTGACCCTGTGTACGGCCGCGGCCCGGCGCCTGCGGTCCGGCTGGGCGAGTTCCTTTGGCGCTTGAAGACTTGAAAGGCCTGGCGATTGATTGCGAGTGCGGGCAGCCGAGTGGAAAACACCCGTCTGCTTGGGCCACACACCCCTCGGGGAAAAGTCGAGTTCTGGAGGTTCAAATCTTTTCTGCCACTTGGCATCACTTGGTACCTTGTTAACACCTTTAACATCACCAGAGTGCGGCGGCTCTTCCCAGAGAACACTAAGACTTCAAGTGCTCCCTAAGTAGTCGACGCAAGTGTAATACCCAGAGTGGCTCTAAGTGCCTGATCGAAATTCAGCGCCCCCTTTCCAACCGCTGCAGGATCTCCTCCACAGGACCGCCTACGTGATGCTCACTGCAGCCACTCATCCAAGAACACCGCGCATTTGTGTGTGTACGGTCGCCCATCTGTATCTCGTTGGACTTGTCCTTTGTCATTGTGGAGAACAGGGACGGTGACATTGATGGAATCAGACTATGAATTCTTCACATTTCAACAAGAATGTCATAAAAACCTTCACCGAAAAGAAAATGAGGGGTATACAACTGGCACCTGTGCATGGTCCAGATTTGGAGAAGGCTTCTTGCGGGTCTCAACTGGGTTTCAGGTCACTTTCCTCCAGTTCAGCCCAAGTGTCCAAGAACATCTACACGAGATGACCAGCTACTTCTCATTGCCATTCGCTTGTTCGCAGGAACAACTGTTGAATAACTCACAGATTTGCCAACCACAAGGAAGAGTCTCACACCCAGACCACAAGAGATATACCCAGTTTGTTTTATCTTCTACACTCTTAAGGAGGGAAAGAAGCGATCATCGACCTATCTGGGTGCGTTTACTGTGTGTGTGTGTGGCGCGCGTCGCGTCGCCTCTCGCCAGCGACGCGCCGTGGCCAGCGAGGCTAGGGCACCTGGGGCACAGCAGAAGCGCTTCTGACAGTGCAGTGGAAAGGCACCTTATGAAGACCATCGTGTTCGACAGATTCCTTGAGATCCAAATTCCATCTACCTGGACTGCGTTGGACAGGTGCTTCCGAAATGACCAACAAATGCCCAGAAACGACCTGTAAGGGTTCCAAAAAAAACTACCTGTTGCAAGGTACTGATATACATGAGGCCATCGAAAAGTGCTAGTTTTCGGAGCGCCTCACTGGGCCTTGACTGGCCTGGCCTCACTGGCCTCCGCCTACGGCCTGACTCGTTTGAAAGATGCCTTTTCCTCACCCTTTGTAGCTTCCCAGACAATCCATTTCAACCAGTGACGGACTTTGAGGATCACCACATCACACACTAACCAAAGAAGAACCTCAGAAGGAAACCTCAAAGGTACCTCAAAGGTCTATCATTTTGAATTACAATAAATATTGATCCACTGTTCTGCTCCCGCGCGGCTATGACATGGACGATCCAGCCTGCAGATGGCAAGTCCTGCACGATCCGTTGCCACTGCCCTGCCGTGACGAGGGCCATGGGATCCCAAGACGACGCATGCAGGCTTCGCAAAGCCGGAGGGGCTATGTTAACCCCCAAAAACGAAGCATTGGTCTTTGGAAAAAGGGAAACACGTTTCATTCCATCTGTCCATGTTTAAGCGGGACTTGCACTCAATGGGGAGGTTTACCGAAAGAAGTCCATGTGAGGCTTCGGCAAGGGTGTTTACGCATGAAAGCTCACCAGGACCCCGTGAAAGAAGAGAAGAATGGTCTTCCAGGCCTACGTGCGAATCTCTCATGGACTACTCATGGAGATGATTCCAGCGAGTGTACGTTCGTTCCACCAAGCTGTCCAATTCCTTCAAATTGGCCACCTGGTGGCGCTATGTGTCTTTCGCACCGTATTGCAGCTTTCACAAGAAGAGCTCCGCCGTGCGAAAGCATGCCCCGAGTCGCAAGGTGGCCCCTCAGTCGCTCCCCTTAGTCCCACCATCACGTGACTTCTTTTGAGGCATCGTCACCATGTGTCATCCATCGACAGAAAAACAAAAGATGAGGGAGGGCTAGGCTACGTTGCATGCATTTTTACTTTTGTATCATGGTGATGTACAAACATTTGTATCATGCTTAGATGCTGGCCAAACATACAAAACAAACCAGACCTTCAAACCGTCCGAATCCGGCTTCGATCTTAGAATCGATTCCTGAAAAAAAGCACCCCGTTACATAATATATGGAGCTGAGCATACGCCAATGTCACATGGATTCCGATCAAAAACACCAAGAATTACAACTCAAAAGGCGGAAACGCCTCACTTTCCAGGACCTCCCCTTGGGCCTTTCACCCTCGTCCCTCCGCGGTGCGCCCCACCTGGCGTTGCCCCGGCCACACCACCCAGTGCCAGCGAGGTCCGCCACTGCCAAGACCTCCGGGAGGTCCGTTCGCCACGGGCGAAACACGGCTGCGAAGCATGAAAGTCAATGCTCTGTCTTCCAGTGGTCTGTGTTCCAGTGGATATGACCTGGTTCCCTGACCTGGGAACCCCTAACTTGTGAATTCGAAAGGGAACGGATGGTGGATGGTTTGCTTTGGGGTTCGTCGACACGGTCGACCAGTCTCTTACCATCTGTGTCTGACCTGGGAAAGCTTGGACCCTTCCGGCGCCAAACAGAAGTTGAGTACAGGTCTAAGTGACCTCAAACCAGAGGATCAAAAGGATTGAGTAGAAACCAGAGGATCACCAGGTTGAGTAGATGAAGACCTTTTTCCACCTTGGGCAGGACTTTCTTCGGCCCATAAACACGAGTCATTCGTTGCGGAGAGTCGGGTTCCCCTGGTAAGGGCCTCACTGGAGATCGAGGAAAAACCTGGCAAAAACACGCGCACCTCTTGACTTCACTTTCGAGATCACCCCAATCTCCTCCAAACTCTTGGCCCCCCCGGGACTTCGGACTTCTCGCCTCGCCCCAAACCGAACCCATCGACCAAAACGACCCAAACTCCCTACCGCTTCCCTTTGGGCGCTCTCGACCGACCGCCGTCGCACCTGGCGCAGAGCAACGCCACCGGCTCCACGCGCGACGAGGCGAGCGCCACGAGCGCCAAGGTCCAGGGCGCCAGGAGAGCGTTCCGCAGGCGCCAAGCGTGGTGCCAAGCGTCAGCTGCGGCGCCTGGGGAGTAGTGGTGACCGTGGGGAAGATCGTCACCTGGGTGGTCATTAGAGTGGTAAGTTGGGTGGGTTGGGTTGGAACTGGTTGAGGAAGTGGGAAACAAGTCGTCTTGTAGTGAGCCACTGGCAGTGAGATTGAGAAGGGAAGCTATGGTGGAGGCCATCGCTACTAGGTTGGAGGCCATCGCTACTAGTAGCTTCTGGCATTACTACTATAGTAACAAGGGCATCGCCACTAGAAGTAGTGCACTTAAGGAAGAGAGTAGACGACCTGAGACACCAACGAGTGTCGTGCGTGCCAGTGTCGTGGCAGAACTTCATTCTGAATGGGTTGTAATCAATCCCCACTAAACCATCCATTTGAGCTTTTTGGTGAATAAGACCGACCAAAATAGGTTGCAAATCGACCACCTCGCCATTTGGTCAATAAAAGATGTAGCAGCTGCCCAAGTAGTTCACACCTTCTGCCAGGGCACAGGCACGGGCCACCCTTTCGTCCAACAGGGCGTCACATGCTCGTTCAGCAGATCTGCATTCAGCTCAACGCAGTGCTTTCGTCTACGGCGGGGGCGAGGAATGGTGAAGCGTTACCGGATGAAACATCTAAGGGCTGAAGATGAAACATCTAAGGCATACCACCAAGTGGACTATCTGAAGGGAATCGTGGACTTGGTGGGACAACTCCAATCTCGGAGTGGGTCGTTTAACTATCTAACGTAGACGTGTGGTGGGAGATCTGCTGATAACCCAATGTTGCCCATTTGCTCTGACAAATTCTCGCAGTGCGTGTTCCACACAAACAAGTTGTCAAAGCTCAAACTCAAAACTGTCAGCAATCTGCAAAAGTTTCTGGCATGCGCTCCGCACATGTGTCCAACTGGCATGTGGGAGATATGCAGCTAATGCAGCTATCCCCTGCGACACACATCCTTACCGAAATCTGCTCTGGAACTACCAACTGAAGAACTGCAGAGAGCTCTGTCATCTACAAACCGAACTTTGAAAAAATAAGAAACTATATACTCATCGAATTGATTGAGGCATCACTGCATCACCCCTATCCTATATGTGCTCCACTTCTGTGCTGTTTGTTTGTTCAAAACAAAACCAAACCCTTTGCTTTGCCGCCCAGTTCCACCGCCCGCCCACCGCGCCGCGACTCGCTGCTCCACGGAACTCCGGCGCCTCGTCCGGATGGCGAGGGCCTGCGTCCAGGTGACACCACTGCCCACCTCAGGTGACACCACAGCGTCACATCCCAATGCAGTTGGTTGGAAGAGCGTTTTTCGGGATGAACACCAGGGCGGCCGCGGGCGTTGGGTGCAAGGACGCTGCTGATGGAGGAGAGGAAGCCAAAGAACCCCACAGGCCCGCCCTAAAATGTTTGACCCATTATAACTATATCTGGTGGAGACCCATCATGCCAAGGGAACATCCACGCATATCGACACCTATCGCAACACTGCCCCCATGTCCCGAGAGGGTGAGCAGGTGCGTCACCGATGTCACCGTGGTGGAGTGAAGAACAACATGGGCGATGCAGATTGGTAGAGTGATTGGGTCCAGTGAGGTGACTGCTAGTCCAGACATCTGGAGAGATGACGGATGACTTCTCACATTCTCAGTCAGACTGAAGGGGATGAGGAAGTAAGAAATGTTTAAAAGAAGAAAAAACTCTACACAGGGCTCAATCCCATGCAATCCCTGTGATTTGATGCCTTGACCCGGCCTCCACACGGCTCATCCTTTCTGAGTTCCGGTGTCCTGGGGACCCAACAAATCCCTTGATTCCGACTCGACCCGAGAGAAGCGTCGGCCATGCTTTTCTCGCGTCTGGCCCCACCAAGGTTCGTCGGCTTCGACGACGAACGCATCGACTCACGTCACCGACCGAACGCTCTGTGACGAGGAGAAGACACGGAAGTGACTCATGGCTTCTGGCTTCTGAATTCTGGATTAAAACAGATTAAAACTGAACACCTTTCAAGCCACAATGCCTTTCTGAGTGATTCCTCTTGGCCACAATGACCAGAATTCGCCCTTTCTGCTACATGATGGCTACATCAAGTACCCCATGTCCATGAATTTCCCATGGCATGTTCCATGTTCGTTGTGGACATCTCTCATGTTAACCAACGACACTTCAACCCCCCCGTCTCCAGAATTGTTCTTTACATCTCCAGGCTGCATGGCTTTCGGATGTGAAGATTTGTGAATCGACCATCAACATGACACCTTCTCCGGTTCGGATATTAAATGCTCTATTTGTTGTGACCACCCAATAGAATACACACCATTTCTATCTCAAAATACGCTGGACCATCCTGTCATCCTGGTCTTCTCGGATGCTGGTATTCTTCGCGTTCCCCCAACGCCCCTTCGACACTGCCAGGCCACCACAGCCGTCACATCCTTCAGGTCCGCGCGATCTGCCCAGTGCAAGGCACACCTGGAGGAGGCAGGTCCCCCAGCATGATCTGGAGGTTTCCATGGAGTCTGCCGGTGCTTTTCACGTGTCTTTTTGGGGGGAGTTGTTAGGGGGGTTCTCCAAGCCAGGAAGATGATCACCATCTTCCAACTTCCCCATGGTGTGGTTTCAAAAAAGGTACTTGCTTTCGGGCGATCAGAGTTCCACACCGGAAGCCCACCTCCACCCACCCCATCTCCACCCACTTCTGCCCGTTCTGCCTCCAACGCCTGGCTTCTGCAAAGCCCCGCACCGCGCTGCCCACGGCCACCGCATCGCACCGGAGGCCCCGCCGCCGCAGCGTCAGCGGCACGTCCACCGCGTGGCGCCGCGCGCGCAGCGCGGTGCCTGGGGCGAAGCCCGCTGACCTCCCAAGGTTGACCTGGGAGAGGTAGATTGTTCTGTTCATGCTCGGTGATCAACCAGGGTGTTCTTGTGTTGACCCACTGCCATTTGGGGACTGGCACTGAAACGGTTGGAGGGGGGACTGGCGCCTGGCTCTGTGGATAAATGTCTGACAAACTGCGCGTGTTTTGTGTGGGCGAGGACGCTGCTTCTGCACTGATGATCAACGACTCCTTCAAGAGCGCTGTCGGGCGGGTGAAATCCACTTTATGAATTAATATGGATCTGTCACTATCTGCGGATCTGTCACGCTCAAACGTCTCAAGTGTCTCAAGTGTCGGCCCTCCACTTTTCTCGGGAGTGAGCTGAACGAAACCCATTTTGGTACAGGGAAGCCACACCAGAACTGCTGCCCAACCATGGAACTCTCCGATGTCCGCCGCGTCTCGCTTGGAGATCCATGGGACATCTCTATACCGACCCTCCGCCCGGCGCCCGGGCCCTACGCGCGAGGTTTCGAAGACCAAATGATCAAAGGCCCTGTCAAAGGCCTAGATGGCCTCAAGCGCCTCACAAGTGAGGCACTGTTTCAGGGAAACCATTTTGAGCGGTTCCCCAATCCAATCCATTAGAATGAAGAAGGTTCTCCAATCCATGCCTTCAGTCCGAAAACAAGCCTTCGCCTCTTCGGGTCAGGCCACTGACCAGGACCTCGTCCAGCTGCAGTGCAGAGCTTCTGGCCGTGGCAAGCACTGTGAGAGCACCATGCCATCGGTCGGGCCATCTGTTGACCTGACGCGAGGCACTGCTGAGTTTGATGTTCATTGCATTTTTCAGCCAATCTATTGAAAGAGCGCAAAACAAACACGGAGTCAATCTTCAGTTTCTACATGAAAGTCCACTAAAATGAAGGTGTGCTTGCTAGAGGTTGAGAAAAGACTATGCTTTAGGGTGGAATTCCACATACATGTGCTTTCTGGGTCCCAGTTCTTCTCCAAGGTCAGGAAAATCTATAACCTCCCTTTGCCGGTTCCACACACCAAAACCTGGAAGGGCTAGTCACCCCTTGAAGAGCTACAAATCGAAATTCCGGGGGAGTCTACCTGGAACCCCAACCAACCAGAAACAGTTGGATGTTCCAGTGTGGCAATTCAGGTCCGATACATAGCAAGTGGTTGTTTGTGGCTGTGGCATCCATTACATTCTGGTTGTTTGGCTTAGCTTGGGGGTGGACTGGGGGGGAAGTAAGGGTTTCCTCTTTTGTGTTTTTGGTGGTGCTGCTGGTGGTGGTATGCGCAGGAAGATATGCAAAGCGGCCACCGGCAAAACCACACGCCGACACCAGCACGCCAGCAGCACCCACAAAACGAAACGCCGATCCAGAGCCAGCACCAGCACCAGCAAGGCAACAGCGCCCGCAAAACGACAGCACAAGCGCCGGCAATACCAAAACACCGATCCACAGCCAGCACCTGCACCTGCACCAGCATCAGCACGCCAGCAGCACCCGCAAAACCAAAACGCCCGCAAAACCAAACCGCCGATCCAGAGCCAGCACCTGCACCAGTATCAGGGCGGCAGCAGCACCTGCAAAACCAAACACCGATCCAGAGCCAGCACCTGCAGCTGCACCCGCATCTGCACAGCAGCAATGCCTGCAAAACCAAAACCCCGATCCAGAGCCAGCACCTGCACCCGCACCTGCATCAGCACGGCAGTGGCGCCTGCGAAACCAATACGCTGATCCAGAGCCAGCACCTGCACCTGCACCAGCATCAACACGGCAGCAGCACCCGCAAAGCCAAAACGCCGATCCAGAGCCACACCATTGAGAAGTTAGAGCCCCTATAGTACTATAGCCTGCAGCTATCTGGGGAAAAACAAACAAAAAGGAAGGGAAGGAGATCAAAAGTGCAATTTGGAACCCAGCCTCCACCAAATCCACCTGGCAGAGAAGGAGACGTTTGCGCACATGTTTGCAGCGACGCCACAACTAGGCCCCGCACCACAAACGATCCCTGTCAGAACGAGGATACGTCGCAGCGTTGGGAAAACGTGTAGCCGACTCAACAACATTATGTAGCTCAAGCTGGTTTCAAACACCTGCCTTGGGCCTTGCGGCGCCAGGATCCTCCATTCAAGAAATGTTTGCAGAAGTCTTCTTGCCCCACCCGACCCGCGCAGGCGCGGCTGCGAGGGCAAAGCTTCTGGTTTTTTCCAAAGCATGTGCTGGAGTCAGGTCTGATCAAAACTAGCTGAACAGAAACTTCGCTCAGCTTCAAACAGCGGTATGGTCTTTTCAGCAAGGCCCAAATAGAACTTGCAATGTAGCAACATTTAGAAAGCTTACAAAAGAAGCGAAGCCTCCAGACTCTACCCCTCAGAGCTCTCAGCGCTCGAAACCTCCGCGCCATCCTCAGCTTTACGCCGGCAGCATCTTCAGCCGCAACCCCGTCAGCGGCAGCGCCTGCAACCAATCTTGCAGCAAACAAAGCTTGCTTGAGGGCGTGTTTCGAAGGCACGCCTTGAAGTTGAGCACAACAAGTTGTAAGACAGATCAAATGGAAAACCACCCTCGCGCAGCATGGGAAATAATTCACAAGGAAAAACGCTCCCAAACGCCGTTTCGCAGCCCAAAGCTGTGTTCTTGTCTTTCAAAGAAAAACTCGAGTCCCACGACCATCCGAAACTGTGATTTTGCCTTTCTCTACTCGACTGTGGCGCAGAGTCCTTCCCTTCTTCCAATCCCTCGTAGCACAGAATCCTTCCTATGAGCCCTCGTAGCACAGAGCCCTTCATATTCGGGGCTTCGTAGCACAGGACAGAACCTTTCTCTCTTTTTTCGCACCTTGAAGAAGGATGACTGCAAAATCACAGTTTCGGGAGGGCCTTGAAAAAGGAGGATTGCAAAATCACAGTTTCGGGTGGTCGTGAGCTTATTTCTTTGAAAGGCAAAAACGCCGTTTCGCGGCCCAAAGCTGCGTTTTTGCCTTTCAATCAAAAAGCTCGAATCCCACGACCACCCAAAACTGTGATTTTGCCTTTCTCTGCTCGACCGTGGCGCAGAGTCCGTCCCTCGTAGCACAAAAGGCCTCGTACACGGTCTAAAAGATCAGCCCCGCGACCACCCGAAACTCTGATTTTGCCTTTCTCTGCTCGACCGTGGCGCAGACTCCTTCCCTTCTTCCAATCCCTCGTAGCACAGAATCCTTCCTATGAGCCCTCGTAGCACAGAGCCTTTCATATTCGGGGCTTCGTAGCACAGGACAGAATCTTTCTCTCTTTTTTCGCGCCTTGAAGAAGGATGACTGCAAAATCACAGTTCACAGTTCGGGAGAGCCTTGAAAAAGGATGACGGCAAAAATCACAGTTTCGGGTGGTCGTGGGCTTTTTTCTTTAAGCTGCGTTTTTGCCTTTCAAAGAAAAAAACCAGCCCACGACCACCTCGACCACCTGAAACTGTGATTTTGCCTTTCTCTGCAAGACTGCGGCGCCGAGTCCTTCCGCTCTTCCAGTCCCACGTAGCACAGAATCCCTTCTGTGTGAGCCCTGGTCGCGCAGAGTCCTTCTCGCGAGCCCCGCACAGCTCCATAAAGGCGGCATCCCAATTTGATCCACTCACTACGGCCCCTATGTTGGGCTAGTTGGTATTGCCGCACCCCGACGCATGGTGTTGAGTGTTTTTGGGGTTCGGACGGCTTTGCGTCCGCTTCAAGAAATTCACCGCGGTTATATCAACCCATGGCGCTAGATGTGATTCAGTTTTCAAAGCAGGATTCGGAATGTTTTTCTTGTCAACACCCCTTTCCAACTGGCGTCACTGGCGCCTGCTTCAGCACTCTCCCTGCTTCAGCCTGCTTCGGCCCCTGCTCCGGCGTCCGGGGCCTCGCCGGCCTCGCCTGGCGTGGATGGCTTTTTTCGTGAAACGTCGGTTCGCAGGGATTGCAGTTGAATGGGCCGATGTGTTTTGATCAGGTGCATCTGCATTTGAGAAGTGGAATCTCACAGTTGGGTTGTCATTACAAAGAAACGATATGTTTTCCATCTCCACCACCCAAAAAACATATAGTACGTATTGTTACGTAGAAAACCTTAGCGCTGCTGCTGGAGAACAGCTTGAAGCTTGAAGCACGTAAAAAATCAAGCGAAAACCTCTGGATTCCTAGCGTTCTGAAGCAAAACAAAAAAGAAGGTTCGCACAATGAATCCAATTTAAAAGACTACAAGTGTCATAAACATTTCACATTTCCAGACACCACTCCCACAGTTCAAGGTTCAGTGCTGGATTCCATCAGTTCCAGTGATTACAACCGCAACACCACGATTTCCACACTGTAAACCTCAACACCGCACCTTTTTCCAAATTCAGGTGAAAAACACCGGTTCCGACGAACTCCGAATCAAATCCTGGTGCGGCAAGAACATCCTCACCGCTTCTCTTTCGTCTTCTCTTTCGCCTTGCGGTGAATATGTCCAGTGAAGAGAAGTGCGCGTATGGGCGCCAAATGTTCGTGGCATGTACATGTATGGACTTTGGATTCATATCGGTCTGATCTTTGAAGAGGCTTTGCAATCGCTTCAATATTGGGTTTGGGTGAGGCTTTACTAACTTACTAACTACCAAAACTCGACAGTCGACTTGGAATCAGTCTGGTCACTGGTATTACTGCTACCCCCTTGTCTACGAAACCTGAACTGAAGTGAGCTGCACAATTGTGCTTGAAGTGACGAAACTGGAGCAACCCAAATCCATGAACCGGTTTTCTCCAGCTCATGAGCTTGCCTCCAACGGCTTTCTCCTTCTCTGCGCGCTCTGCTGTCTTCCCCTTCTTATTAACCTCCAGGAAGGGTTCTGGATTGATTCGGAATCGAAATTTCGGAACCGAAAGTTAGCGAACGTCAAGAACCGAAATGTGTTAGGAACCGAATGTAACAACCGTCAATTGTCCCAACACAACCGAACCGAAAAGAAAAACGAACCGTTCCGCTCCGTTCCGAGGTCAATCAGCAAAGCGCTGTGCGACGTTTCTCTCAGACTGTCCAGGGTCTTGGAGTTTCAAAGCAGCAGTCCCCCGGCTTCAGGTGCATTCATAAAATGCTTTCCTTTCCTTTTCCTGTTCCTTTCCTTTTCGTTGCTTTCCTTTCCAATATGCTTCTTAGACGGCATGGAAAAAGCATATTCACAAATTGCACTCCTACCTGTCCATTTCCATTTCCGTTTCCTTTCCTTGTCGTGAATCTGCTTTTTCCAGGCAGTCTAAAAAGCATATTGAAAAAGGAAAGGAAAGGAAAAGGACAAGGAAAGGAAAGGACAATGTCAAGGAAAGCAAAATTGCATACCTTACCTGTCCTTTTCCTTTGCTTTGCTTTCCTGTCATTACTTTTCCTTTTCTTTGTTTTCCTTTCCAATATGCAAAAATGCTTTTTGGAAGGCCTGGAATATGTTCACAGAAGTGCATTCCTTCCCCTCGCTTTTCCTTTTCTTTAGTTTTTTCCACATTCTTTTCTTTCCTTTCCTTTCCTTAAAATGATTGCTTTCCTTTCCTGTCATTTCCTTTCCTTGTCCTTTCCTTTTTGCTTGCCCTTTTTCTCCTGTCCTGTCCTGTCTTGTCTATAGTCTAGTCTTGTCTTGTCTCTTTATCATTGCCTTTCTTTCTTTACCCCACTGCGTAACTTATGCCTCACAGAACCGCAACAAACCGTGAACCAAACCAAAAGTCCATGAAAACATACTTCTACAACCAAACCGGACCGATTCGAAGTTTCAATTAGATTAAACATCCAAACCGATTCCAACCGAACCGAAACCTTACTGGCAACAACGCGAAATCATGCACATCTGTGACGACAATTCAAACTCCTGAGAAGCCCAAGAAGCACCCGACTCTCCTCTTAGTCAAACAACTGACCCCCCGGCTTTCAGCCCATTGAATTGAATGGACTCTCGAGCCCTGGTCCTGTCAATTCTTCTGTTCCATTGTTGTCGAAAAAACAATGCCCTGCCTTCAGGAGCATCTGGCGAAGTCGCTTCCTTGCGCTGGCAGTATACGGGCACACATGCGACGGCAATGTGGAACGAAATCGTGCCCATCTGTTCGAACAGATTGTTCTTTTAGTTCATGACTCTTCTCATTCCATGTTTGTTGGCAACAACTTGAATCTTGACTCCATAAGAGATCATTTAAAATGCTGTAACACGCTGTCATAGCAAAGTATTGGACTTCTGCGGGATCCAGGTCGGTGGCTCATGGTCCCTCGATGGCCGTCGTACGCCGTCGCGTCCCTCAAAACCGTCCTCGCACATTGTTATAGCTTGTGTGTGTTCCAAACTTGTGAGTTGTTCCTCTTGTGGGTGTGGGTGTGTGCGTTTGCTATTGTCCTGGTTGATCACCCTGGCCGCCAGTGAGCTGGCCGCCAGCAGTGGTCTTGTTCGTTCGGGCTGGCCGCCAGGAGGAGTCCTTCTTGTTGCTTGCGTCTGTTCCAAATTGTCGCGTTTGCTCATTGCCGCAAAGCTGCCTCCCACTGGGGCTGTGGAAGGCGCAGCATTGCCTGCAAGTCCAGCCCCAGGGTTATAGCAGCAGCGTATGCTGCTTGCGGGGACACCTCTGGTTGAGGTGGTGGTGGGGCCTCTTCTGCGGCTGGTGAGGGTTCTGTGGGCTCCTCTTTCACATGTTCTGTGGGCTCCTCTTTGATGTCTGCCAACATGTAAGGATCTTCTCCAACACAGTCAGCTTCATCCTCTGGAAATACCACCACATCCTCCTTTTGTCAATTCAAAGCTTGAGAAATTGGATGTGAATGTTCCATTGATGACACCATGTTGAGCTACGGCTGTGCTCTGAATCATCATCCAACACAACCTAAGTCCCTGCCAGCGAGCATGAATGCCCTGCTAGCGTTGCCAAAAAGAAACCTCGTGGGAATAACACAGCAGCAGAGTAGCAAGATTCAACATGTCCCTGCCAGCGAGCATGAATGCCCTGCTAGCGTCGCCAAGAAGACCCATAGTAGTACTAGACTAAATCTGTATTTTCCACAATTGCTCAACATGTGCCACAATGTGTTATAGGATGCAGTTCCTGCCAGCAAAGCAAAACCCAACAGTCCTCCGGGCGCCTGTCGGAGCGGAAGAAGAACAGCCAGTAACAGCAGCAGCAACCAGCAGGGAGTAGCAGCAACAGAAAAGGGCGGACACCAGCAGTGACAGACCATGAAAAGAAATGCTATATTGCCAGCGGAAAAGGGCGGACACCAGTGACAGACTTGGGAGACAAATGAAAAATGAATAGAAGTGCTACATGGCCAGCGGAAAGGGGCGATCAAACACAAGCAGCCAGAGCGCCGGCGTGTCGCCCAGGATCCGTTTACCTGTCTCTTGTCGAAACTGCAAAGCTCTACAAAAAGACAGCAAAGCCCTGTCACCGGATTTGAGGTCCGGTGGATGCTCATGATAGGAATCCCGTGAGAAATCTGCAACCGCTCTCAACCTGCCGGTGAGGCAAGGGTCCTTCACGGGTCAAATTGACTGGCTTGACTGGTTTCTGCTCCTCCTCAGCACGCGGACTTGGAATCGGGCTTGCCTTTGACGGGCGCAAAGGTTTCTCTACCTTGACATAATACCCCACTCGATCGAAATCAGTCCCACCCTGAGCATCGGATATTGGTTCAAGAAAATATTGACTTAATTGAAAAGTATCTGTTTGATTTTTGCTCTGACTTTTCCATTTTTCATTGTCTGACCTATTGATTCTGATTTTGCTTATTCTATTGATGTTGATGTTGACTTTCCTATTGTTTTTGACTTGGACTTTTCTATTGATGATATGGGTGGGGCCGATATGGTTCGATATTTTCGGCCGGAGTGGTGGATCATATGCTATGATCTGATAGGGCTCGATATGGTGTGGCCAATTTTGTAACAAGCCTCACTGGACGCCATGAGCTTGCGCCCGGTTGTGGCTGGCTTTGCTAAGTGGCATCTGAGGCGAACCGAGATTTCAAAATCACAAGCTGATGACAGCCCAAAAGCGAGCCCACTGAAAGGAAACAGTTGAACATCTTTGGACCCCCCCGACCACCTCGCACTCGAACACCAGCCTCCACCCACTTAAGGGTCTCCCCCGACGACCGATACGCGCGCAGCGCACGGTTCGTAGCTTGAAGGCCCATCCTAAAGTTTCCTGATGAGTGTTGTGTATTGTACAATAAGCCTGGCAAGCCCCAACCGGCCCCCTGTCAGTCCAAGGGTTTAGGTTTATTAGGGATTACACCCTGGAAGTTTAACATAGAACATGCACAATGACCTTTGGAAGAGTATGTTCCTTTACTTTACGACCAAGTGGTTTTCAGGCTCCATGTTGATATTCCGGACTAGGCCTACTAATTTAGTTATTCATCATCATCATCATCATCATCATCATCATCATCATCATCAGCATCAGCATCAGCATCAGCATCAGCGGGATGGGTTGATTACGTTCCCATGGGCCATGGCCCATATATAGTTCAGACTGGTTATGCACCCTATGGGCATGAGGCTGATGAGGGACCGGGAGCCCATCCAACACTCCCCAGCTAAGTTGGGGTTCCAGGTAGGAGTCTAGAGGGGGGGTGGATCTGTTGCTAGATCTTTCGGTAAATCTTGATTCTCCCTGCCATGAAGCTCAAACCGCCAACCAGGAGTTGTTGCACAAGTGACCAAAATCACTGGGTTTTAAAGAAACCACTCCCTAGTTGGGCGAACAGAAGAAGCTGGAAGGCTGGAAGTACCCACACTCAAAGGGCCCAGAGAGATCTTGGCATCTTGGAAGCAAAGTAAGGATGTGACAAGACCCCACTGAGACACCCCTTCTGTTTCCCCCAAAAAAGATGTCTCGGAACATCTACACTTTCCTCCGAAGTCAGTGACTCGGCTGAAAGACAGCATGAGGACCATGATGTGCTTCCTTCCCAGATGATTTGAAGGTAACTTGGCGCGAAAATGGGCAAGTTGGTCTTGATATATCTTGATCATCCGTGTCGTCGAAATCCATGACGTTCCCTTTTCTTGTCTTCCTTGTAGAATGATCTACAACAACTTGGTCTTTGACTTCGAAAAGCGGAGACAGGGAGCTGAACAAACTGTCGAATGTCCAATTCTGAAGCTCTTAGACATCTCGCAACTGAAACCCTTGCAGATGGCAGCCCATCGGTTCATGAACTACAGAATACAAGGATGTGTGTTGGTAAATGAAGAACTGTTCTTATTCAGTTCATTGACCACACTTTTGGCATCGAGCTCGATAGAAGCCTCGGGTCCCTAGGATTGCCCTAAATATAAACGATGCATCAGTCAGTGAAATTCTTGTGCTTAGGGCTGTTGAATGACTTGGGCGCATTGATTTGGCTTCTTGGGAAGTGGCTTGAGGTGAAGTCATGGCCTCGCTTTGCTCGCGGTGTCACGGCCTTGTCCCTGAGGATGGCTTGGTAAATGCCCAAATGTGGTCTAAGGCCTGTCGGCTCAGCGAATCTTCAGTGACATGGCATCAGCATGATGATTTGGGACTCAGATGGAAACTCAAACCATCAGGCTCAGATTGGGTGGCCAATCACTCTTAGGTTGGAGGCTTTCGCTAGGAGGTTGGAGGCCATCGCTCTCAGAATGGGTGGCCAATGTATGAGAAGAACCATACACAGGGCTTGCTGACGAGGGTAGTCACAGTCGCTGTGCTTATTCAGTTGCAAGAAGCAGACACCTATGGAGACCCTCTAAGCTTGGTGTCTCTTACACTGGACATCCCCTTCTGTCAACAAACAAGACCTTCTCCAGAAGGGGCTTCACTCATAGGGGAAAACACCAATTCACCTCAAGCAAAATCAGGATCTGCAACCGGTCAGTGCCCCAACTTGCATCAGCACGGCAACACCATGCAACGCCGATGATAGTCAATTCGGAATAGATCTCCCAGCTCGTCCCACGCCATCGACACAGACATGCTATGGAACCGCCCAGGTGTTCAATTCATGTCAAAATCACATTTATGTCTAATGTTCACATCCCAAAGGTGTCTTCCTTGCTCTTCGTTCCCTTCACACATAGACCTTGACAATACACCTCTTACCGAAGAAAGCCGCTTCTGAAAAAAGATGGGGCCCTTCGAATTCGCGCAATCAAAGGTTTAAAACGGACGTGTGAATCAGTTCACTCAGTGCCAACGGGCGTGAATCTGGCCCAGCTGAGTGTTGTTCCATTTCCATCCTGGGCCATCCTGCTCCCTCCGCTCGCTCCGGAGGACCGACCTCCGCGACCTCTCCGCGACCTCTCCACCCGTTTCCACCTCGGAGCCCCATCCAGTCCAGCGAGGCGGTACTGAAACGCCAAATTCGACTGGAGAGGAGAGAGCCCATGGTGATGAGGTCCTGCCAACCAACGAGTGAAGCCCCGATGTCTCCGGGGTTTTATGTGCGTTGCCTCGGTGTGTGGGGGGAGTTTCCAGGTGCCTCGAGAAATGGAGCCGAGGCGTGAGAAGTTGGGCTTTCGTTGGGTGGCAAAGACGCAAGAACACCTAGGCGTTCAAAGCGCCCGCAATGCATGGACGGCCAGGAGTTCGGGGCCTTGATACAGGTGAGTGGAGAGAATCCTGGAGATCGGCATCCTTTCTCAAGATGTTGATATGGGTATGGGTCGCTCAACCGCCCTGGCCCACCATGTAGCGAGCGAACTCGCGAACTCGCGAAGGACCGGCGTCGAGCGATCCTGGTGGCATCTGGTGCCATGAGCCATCTCCATATTGAATTCCAGAAGATACGGATGACAGGTGATGAAACCGATTCTCAGGAATTTCAGGAAGCTGCAATTCTTAGCAGCGCAATTCTTCATGCACTGAGGGGAAGTACCCCATAGTGGATGAAGAACAAAGGAAATCAGGTGGCGTAATGACAACCCCCTTAACCTGCGGGCGTAAGCATGTACAAGTCTGATGCATGTTTGGTTGTTGCCACGTGCAGACCGTAGTGATGATGGCTTGAATCCTTCTGTGAATAGAAGAACATGAGTGCTCATCAGGGCTCATCAATTAGGCGGGTCATTCCTTGACAAACTCCACCAGTTCTATGACTTGCGTATATACCATTCCCTGTAACAGTGGATGATGATGGCGGTTCAGTTGCAGGCCAACATCATTAAAAGAGTGTCGTTCTTCTTTACCGACTGTTGCAGGCCATGGGAAATGTATGACACAAAAAAGAGCTCTTGCTGAGTTCGAAAGGAACCAAAACTCCCACCACCATGCCAAAGAGGCATTGAAGATAGCCATTCTCTAAAGATAGCCCATGTGCTGTTTCGGAGCAGAGGTACCAGCTCCCACCGGTCGATCGGTGGTCTTGGGTCAAAGACCCAGTCGCTAACCGCGAACGTGCACGAAGCAAGCGGTCGTTTTCTGAAGCCACACTGACCAAAATGTAGGAAAAACAACACTTCCAAACAAAATATGCAAATCAATGTTTTTTCTGCTGAGAGAACAACCTTGGGGACACTTGGGGACCCAAGGTAGAGATCTCCTTCTTTTTGGGCCCTGTCCCCCAAAAGGCTGCGGTCTCCTCACCCGGTTTGATCACAGCAGTGTCTCCACCAATGGTCCAAAGAACGTGTGTACACCCGCAAAAAGACCCACATCGACCCTGAAAATGTACCTTTTGGAATCTTTTGGATGACGAATCACATCTAAATCACTAATCTTCCTCTGCAACTGCAGTGGTTTTCAGTTTCCATGTGGGTCTCTTCCAGAGCAAAGTCGTTCAACGCAATCCCCCCACCGAGCTCCCCGTCATCCCACCCGAGCGCTGCTCTCCCTCCCAGCGCCGTCCGTGCGCATGGCATCCGCGGAAGACGACGTCAGGAGAACCAGCGAGCGGGTCCAGTGAGCTCCTGTTTTCGCGAAGTCCGACCGGGGGGAGGTGGAATCTGAGTCGGTCAAACAAAGGATCTGTGTCGGGTCATTTTCCTAGATTTCCTCTATGGAAACCTGTTGTTTGGTGGTGGGAACATGGAGAAAGATTATAGTCTGCTTAGAAGAAAAAGGTAAAGAATGTCATCGTCGTGTGATCACTTTGCAGGATATTTCGGAGTTTAGTACATGTTTACATTGGCAGAGGAACCTCTACTCGTCACTTGCACTTGCACTCACCTCTAGTAGTAGTACTCCGCACTTATCTGTGCACAAGTCGGCTTCGGTAGGGCAGGTGGACTTTCCCTGTAGAGATCTTCTTGTATAGAACAAACTCGACCGGGTCAAAAACATCTAGATCGCATGTTGAAGAGCGATCATGGTTCCCGAAAAACATGAACTCTTGCCGTTGTTTGTTGCATTTCTTTCAGCATATCATATGGTCTGTGCCAGTTTCCTGTACATATTGCCCGTCGACGACCATCCAAGCACACTTCAAGATGAGGCCTGTGCATCTACCCATCATCCAAAAAAAGGGCGAACTGGTTGCGCGAACTGGTTGGGGGGCCCGAGGAAAGACGAGTGAACACCTGTACGAAAGACCCCGGGAATCATGGTTTCGTGGAGGGAACACCACCAGTTTGGTCTTCGGATTTCATGGTCATCCGGATCCGTCTACGAATTGGGGGATTGGGTTGTCTCATGTGGTCTCATTACCTCTTGGCGCAGCTCGTGATAGCTTTGGCCCATCACGAAACACGGACAGTCATGTTGCCAAAGCCTGATCTACCTTATGGAGTGGTAATTGTGGTGTTTTGGGTGGTATCAATCATATCATCAACTGGTGCTCCAAACTGAGTAAGAAGCTCCAAACTGATCACTCCTATCAGTAACAAGCTCCGAACTTAGTAGGGCAATTTGCGCGAAGAACCTGCACCTCCTGGGCTAGTCACCAGCCCGCAGCAGCTCGGGTCGCTCGCGCCGTCGCGCGCGCGGCATCACCACGCGGCGCCTCGCGCCAGCGCGCTGAGGACGCTGTTGGCCGTGGTCTGGCTGCGTGGCAGCGTGGTCTGGCAACGAGAGTGAGGCAAGGTCTGGCAAGGTCTGGCAAGGTCTGGCAGCTGGGAATGAATCAATCGGAGGGGTCCAACATGGCCTAACTTGAGGTGTTGTCTTGTAGAGTTGATCTCAAAGTCTTGAAAAGAACAACTTGGGGATGGGAGTGGTATGTGAATGGTCTGACTCCTCGTGCCCATCTTCCGTACCCGTGAGTGAGAGGGTACGGACCGTACGGACCGCACGTGCGGATCGGATCGTCGAACGGTTCTGGCGGTGGTCGTGCTTCGACCAATCCCTGGGAGTCCAGTCGACTCATAAGAAGAATGGTCTGACCAACGGGGAACTGAGTGAAAGGGAAGGTCCGAACTACTTCAGCCGGTTCAGACATCTCGTCGAACTGGACGACTTCGTTCGGGTTCTCCGACCTAAAGAAACATGGGACACATCAGGGAACTGGACTTCTGGCACCATATCAGGTCCCCAATTCTTCGCTTCTACTGCCCCTGTTCACTTCCCCTTCTTTGTTGGATAGATGACATAGCGAGCGATGGAGGCGAAGTGCCACGAAACGCGGCGAAGTGTCATGGCTCCCAGCCTCAGCAGCATGGCTCCAAAGCCGCAAGGAATGCCTCCGTTACGGCGTGGCGGTGGGGTTCTCGCACCGAACCAGCTGATTCGAGGTCCAGCGGTTATCTGTTCATGAAACCCTTAAAATGAAGTGTTATGTCCAGAGTCCAAACAAGTCCCAAAACTATATATTGTAGTTCATTACCTATGTACCCCAAAAATTATCCCTGCTCGAAGTACATGAAAAGCACCTAGCTGCCAGTGCAGGGAACTGGATGGGCAGGGCACGCTGGCGGCACAGAATGCGTGGAAATCACTGGTGTCAAGCCAATGAAATGTTCTCTCTACTGGACATGATATACAAAGACATATATCTATACAGTGTGATGACAAATCCGTTCCCTTTGACCCTTGGGTTCCCCAAAATTGATTGCTCTAAAAGCAGCCTCCACCTTTGACTCTTGAGCGAGGCAGGTCTACTGAGTGACTATCTCCGTGCCCCAACATGTCATGCTGTTTGAACCTCTGGAACATCTTGATCCCTTACATGTTGATCCAAAACCGCTCAAATCTTCTTCTTCCAACCTCCACTTGCTGGCGCGATCACAGCGGGCCGCTGCCGTGCCCAGCGACACCGCGCTCGGGCGGAGCGCGCGCGGGGTCGCAATCTCGAGGTGGCGTAAGAGGGGCAGGGCCAGGTGCCAGATGGCCTGGAAGGATGTGGATTGTGGCTGTGGGTCAAAATCGGGAGTAGGCTGGAGGCCTTGGCCTTTCTAGGTTGGAGGCCGTTGCTATTAGAGGCCGTGTGTCTGGTGACCTTCTGACCCTCTGGTCGTCTTTTTGTTTTTGTCCAGGGAGTTGAGTGTCTGGTCGTCTGTTCGTCCTTTTTTTTTGCGACCGTCTGACCCTCTGGTCGTCTGACCCTCAATCATCCCTGCAAGTCACATGGCACTCCAGAGATGCATTTGCCCGTCCACACGGTCCACCCGGAGAGCTTCCTTTTGAAACCACCGGGTTCCTCGAGCTGTCTTAGGAGCGGTTTCAGGGACAGCGCGACACCGACACCTTTTTTTCTCACTCTGGGAGATGTTTGGTGAAGATCACCCAGATAACCCAGAAATAGCTGCAGAGAATTACCTCTTGTTATTAATTACTCTATTTATCTCTGTTTTGTGTTCAAACAAATTGTAAAGATCACCCAGAAACAAAAAAACGTCATGGAACTCCACACGTTGAGCACACCGAACATCTGAGCGACCTGAAGGCCGGCCTTCTTGATAAAGGAAAACCATATCATGTGAATCCATGTGAGGCAAACCCCTCTGGGGACATGACCCAGGGTGAGAACCAACCCAGTGATGCTCACCCAGTGATGTGGCGGCAGGTTCCTCAACAGCCGGCGACCTACAGAAAAAGTCTGGATGGCTTTTCCTCTACAGAAAGTGGATGCAAGGCCAATTTATCGGTGGGGGACTTCATTCAAACAGCTCTTCATGGCCAGTGCTGTACGGCTCTTCCAGAAAGAAAGTCCACAGATCCTCTGAGAAGAGGGCGAAAGAACCAAAGGGGCCCTCCAGCCACATCTGCCAAGAAGGTCACATCCCCGAAATCTCATGTCCAAAACGCGGGATCTCCAGGGCTCTTGAACAAATCGTTGATAGATGTTTACAGTCCTTGATAGTTCTGGACACCAAAATCACGGCCACAAACCAAGCGTCCAAGCCTTGCGAATCAGTGAGGAAAAAACACACCACAGCTGGTCAGCCGGCCATGAGTAGCTCGGGAAGCTTCGGGGAGTTCATCGACCTATCCTTTACTAGAACTCTGTGAGTGCTGGACTGCTAGACTTCTGAAGGATGAAAACCGAGGATGAAGAGTTGTGAGTGGTTCCGAATGAATGGAAACAGGATGAGTCGGCTACATCCAGCGACTCCATCTGCTGGAGGCTCCGCAGGAGTCCGAAACCCTCCAAATGTCAGGACAAACGTCTCTTTCCTCTAAGAGCCGTGACCCTCTCACCAGCTTGCAAGACCTTCGACGGAACTGGAACCTTCTCTTCTTCTGATGTGTGTAAACCTTCCAGGATAAAACCCACTGAAAGGATCGGAACATAGACCAGTCCTACCCCGTGTTCAAGGGGTGTCACCCGCCGCAGACACGCGACACTCCACCTGCGCCATGACCACATTGACCAGCTGCACATCGGGAAGAACCTCTCGTTGCCGGGCCTCGCCGGGAGGCAGTCAACTGCACGGTCATGGGAGTTACACAAGTCACCCACAAGGTCTTTAGGAAAGACGTAGTGCGCTCTGCGCACGCGCTGTGCGCACGACTCTGGTCTTGGTTCTCTCCACTGGGCTCCAAAACAAGGAAGCAAAACGCCATCGTTCTCCAACCAGGGATTCACCCAGTGCCGGACATCATATGGCTAGTAGAAACAAGAAGCTACTAGTAACAGGTGCATCGCTTCTAGTAACAAGAAGCTAGTAGAAACCCTATAAAAATTAGAATTTAACTATATAGTGTGTCTGCCTCACTGGACACGCACCTCTTCGAGCACGTGGAGCTTGCGCAGCCACCGGCGATCGGCGCGGCCACCGGCGATCTGCGTCAAAAGGAGCAGATCCGCCTGACCGTTGGCGAAAACGGCCCGTCAACGGCGGTGTTTGGTGGATTGGTTGGGAGATGTTGGGTGATCCAATGGTCGAAAAGCACGATGTTCTATGGTGATCCATGGTGATCCAAGGTGCATGTCCCAGACACTCCGTGTATGCCATATCCATATATGCCTACATTGACCCCCAAAACCACCCCAATGTAGGCAAATATGGCAGTCCCATGGAGTGTCTGGGTGTAGTTCTGCCTCCCTTGGTCCTCAATTTGGAAGTCCATCAGCGTCAATGAGAAGAGTCTTGCTCGTCTGGACCCGTTCCCCGTTCGCTGGGGTCTTGACCCGGGTTTTGGACCCCAAGCATCTGGGAGCCAAAACATGTCCCAAGCAGGAACAGGAAAAGATGTGTAAGAATGTGTAAGATAGAGCAAGCCCTGAGCAAGCCCTTGTCATTTCGAGCCTTTTGCACACCGCCAGCTGAAGAGCAACCTGTTGGGGGAACTCAAGAGTTGAACCGGTTCAGCATACATTCCTTGGCAGATGCACTCGTCAGCGGAGGGCCGGGATGTGACCCTGATGCGCTCAGCCATTCAGAAACCCGCAGAGAAGTGCGCACGCTTGGAAATCACGAGCGCAAACACGTCGTGGCGCTACTCCGCCAGCGGGCACCAGCGGGCACCAGCGGGAAAGCAGAGGCACGGACCAGCCCTGCAATGACAAAGTGTCTAACGTCTGCTACTAAATTGGGTGTGGTCACATGTGTCCAGGGGTGCAGCCCTGAAAGGTAACATTTACAATCTGAGTCACGAGTTGGAGACAGTTGCACTTGCCAAACAGCTGCAGCTCTGAAAGGTAGCATTGCCAATCTGAGTCACTGAATTGGAGATGGTCACATTTGCCAAAGCTCTGCAATTCCTGACTGAGTTGGGAATCGTCACACTTGCCAAAGAGGAGCAGTTCAAAAAGGCTTCAAAGCCAATGCGGGTCGCAGAGTCAGGGATGGCGACCTTTGCCAAAGAGCTGCAGCTTGCGAAGGCATCATTCCCAATGCGCGTCACTGAGTTGGATAGCTACATTTGCTAAAGAGCTGCAGCCATGAAAGGTAGCATGTCCAATCTGCGTCACTGACTCCGGTATCGTCATACTTGCCAAAGAGCTGCAGCCCTCAAAAGCACCAATCCCAATGTGGGTCACTCGGTCTGGTATGGTCACACTTGTCAAAGAACTGCACCCCTGAAAGGTTTGATTTCCAATCTGGGTCACTGAGTTGGGGATGGTCACACTTGCCAAAGCTCTGCAATTCCTGAAGGCAGAATCCCCAAAGCGGGTCACTGAGTTGGGGATCATCGCATTGGCCAAAGAGGAACAGTTCAAAAGGCTTCATGGCCAATGCGGGTCACAGAGTCAGAGATGGTCACACTTCCCAAAGATTCGGAGTCTTTGAAAGCCCGCTGAAGAATTTCAGCGGCAGTGCTGGGGATTTGAACTACTAGAGACTCCAGGTGAATCTCATGGCGAAGTAGGGCCAACTCGCGGCTAAACTGTCACATCTCACGGTGTTTTGGTTGAAAACTACAGTCACATCTGCTGGAGAAAGGCCTGCATCTGCTGCTGTCTCATCGTTCTTCAGCTATCGATGAAGCGCCCCGCGTCGTTCTCCCATGTCCACCCGCGTCGTTCTGCCTATGAGTTCCCAAGGCTGGCATTCTTTGATCTTTGCCGTGAGTTCCCGTCCCATGTCAGGCAAGACTTCTAGAACCATCGCTTCACCATTCTGCAGAAAATGATACCTTCGCCATGGCAATCGCGAAGAATCCAGATGCAGAGACGTCTCGAAGAACTCCAGAATCGATCTCTTCAACGCTTCTTGGTCACTACTTGAGACAGAAAGGGGTCAAGCTGTGGCCTTTGGACATCTGTTTGCTCCATTTGGGATCCCACAAATGACAGGCACCATGAAACGGGTTTTTCCTTCACTATATTTGGCCCCAAGCCACTCAGCCGGAACCTCCCAGGCAGCGGTTAAGAGCGGCCAAAAGGGGCAACTGGTCATCCCATGAACTGATCATGTTTAAAGAACATATCCGGCGAAGGGTCCAAGAAGTCGTGGGGGTGATCTAGGATCTGTCTATATGTTATATATAGTGAAATCAGAAGTGTATCCTGTTTATGTTATCCTCATACTGTTTCTGGGGTGTTTCTTCTGATTGAAAAACACCATCTCCTTTAGGCCCCCAGACGTTCGTTTCGGGTCGGGTCGGCTTCTTCCGCTTCGCCTGCAGCCCATCTCTCCTCAACAGCTCCAGCGAGGGCACCTACGTGCCACGTGGCGCGCTGGGGCAGAGTGGCGGGTGCTACGTGGGGAGGGCGAAACCAAGTGGCTGCACGGTGCTGGATGGCTGGGATGTTGTGGGCATTTCTGAGACTTCCCTTCTTTGCAAAGCACCCTTTCTTTCTTGGTCACCGTCCAGATCCTGCAGACCCCTTCGAATCCATCGGAGATGACATGGAAGCTTCTCCACTCAAAGCCAGTTCTCCACTCGGGGCGAGCCGTGCACCACTGTGAAGGCCATCGCTAGTGGTCCTTGGAGCCGAATGCCGGCCCAAGAAAGGCTGGAGCCCATCGCTATTAGTTTAGTTAAGTGTCCCTAAAAATCTGGGAACATCTAGGAACCAAATCACAAGAAGTTCCCGGTGCCCTGCGGTGCCCTGCGGCGCCGCTGGCCCAGCTTTTTCCGGCTCACGACGATCCGTGAGCCGAGCTCTCCACGACGATCCACACCCCCGCCCACCCGCCTGGGCCCCCGAGGTCGGGCGCATCCGCGGAAACCATGGCGGCGAACCAGGGCGGCAGCGGCCGACGGTTCGACAGGGGTGGAGACCCAGGGGGGCTCTGGGCTACGGATGAAGACCTACATGGTTTGACGGCATCATACTAAGATCAAAACTCTGGAAGAGACCTACATACATGGTTTAGACGAGTGGTGCTTTTCCAAACACCGTGGTGTTCCCTCGATGTGCTTCCTCTATCGACGAAGTGCTCTGAGGCCCTCTGCTTCTGAAGACGGGATCCACTTAGTCAAAGGACCTAGTCACCTAGTCCTTCTCGATGTTTTTTTGTATTGGACACCGGGATGTTTGTGGCTGCACGTTTCGTCGCAAAGGCTTCAGTCATCAAGACAGAGGGTGGCGGTAGCTGTGGGTCATGGCACCAGAAGACCTTGGGCGTTCCGGCTTTTACGACACCCATCCCCAGAAAAGCTTGCACATCTGGTCTCATGTGAATCGAGCCCAAGGGTCCCTTGGACCTCCTTCCACCACTTCGAAGCGTTGTCGCGGCGAACATCGGCGATTGTGTGGGTGCTGCGTCGATGTCTGCAACACTTCAGAATGGCTTGTAGTGGCTTGTAATACATCTTCGTCTCAGGTGGTGTGGTCCTTCAAACGCAATGGCTTCATCTGAGAAGCTTCTAAAAGTCATAGACTCCTTCTAGGTGGCTGCGGGGTTCGCACTGGTTGTATGTACAGCACAAAAGACATGGGCTAGCCACTACCACAGCGCTCACAATAGGGGATCTCTAGCAGTCTCAACTACCAGTTCGAGTATCAACCATTTCTGATCTTCTCAGAACTTGGGCATTAGAATGGATTGCAAGAAACGGACCAAAGACACCAAAACTGGACAGGGAATCTCATCCCCTCCAACGAAAAAAGTGGACATCCTGAAGTTATCTAATTACATGCAAGATCATGCAAGTCTATAAGTGAAGACCTCTCTAGTGGGCTGCTAAGCTACATCGTCTCATTTGCTTGTGCCCTAGATTCCTAGATTTGACCGCCGTCTCGCCCGTCCTGCCACCGTTGCTGAACCATGTTGAAGCTATTTGGAACCACCCAACTGGCTGGTTCCCGAGTCTAAAGATCACGAGATTGACTCAGACTGCTTAGCATTCGCCACCCCCGCCTCCAGCGGCCTCCCCACCCGCCAGACTGCTTAGCCTTCGCCACCCCCCCACGGTCGCTACACCACCCCCCCACCCGCCCGAAGCGTCCGCGCTCGTCCTCGGCGGTGTCCGCGAAGCGGAGCTGCTGGGAGTCCTCGGTGCGTTCGGCGCGGCGTTCGCGAAGGCGATCCGGCCTTTGAGGTAGATCGGTCGATCCGCCCTCAAAGCTCAACATCAAGGTGTTCACATATCAAAACCATGTGCTTTCCTATAGGGAAAAACCAGGGTGTGTGATGGGCCGGGGGCTCTGATCCTCAAAACAGGGGATCCGCCCTAGGATCCTTAGGATCGCCAGTTTTTCATGCAGGGCAGATTCTCGTCAAGCATTTCATTCGTTGACATTGGATCAAACGAACATACCCAGACGCTCCTGGACCCTCATATGCAGGGGTCGGACCCGAATCGGGACTGGAGGGGTCTGGACCTTCTCACTAAACCCTATGGTTTGGTTCCGGACCCTGTCGGGCTGTTTTCACGGAGCGTCTGGGTACAGATTTTCTAGTAAGGAGACCCAGTAAGATTCTCTCGTACGCCGGTGGATCCCCCCAAAAAACCTCCCCGACGATGGATCCCTGACGTATTGCACTGCGTGTCTTTCTTTTCGGTCAGTCTTGGTAGCCATGTGGAATCAGCACGTTGAGGTGATCATAGGTGCTCATCGGCCTTGTGATCATGGGTATTTACCAGTAACCGTGGATGATGATGGTTCAGTTGCAGGCCTTTTTCATCTCTGCAGTAGTGATGATTTACTTGTTGACCGACGGCGGTCAACGGGAAGTTCGGACAGACCTAGTAGCCTTGCATCACCGAGCTCAATCAACCCAAGCCAAGTGCGAGTTAAGGGATCGAAATTGGATCGAATCGAAGAAATTGGAAGGAGCTACGTTCGTAGCCTTATTCTCGCTCCGTTCGTAGCGATGCAATTGGTCACGTTCGAGTCGCGTTCTTGTTCCTGTAGTAGTCATGCCAGGAGTGCCCCTAATTCGTCGCGTTCGGTGCACGGTTCGGTGGGTGCGCCGAACCAGTCCTATACCCGCTGGTTCGGTGCGACGGTAAGGGGTCCTGATAGGGGTATACGGAGCCCCTGCCCAGTAGCGTCCTACGGAATCCTATGGATGTGTAGGACGACCCCATAGGGAGACCTTGTTCATAGGGAGACCCCATCTACAGGATAGGAATCATAGTAGCATCCCATATTTGTTCATAGGGACAACGAAGAAGAGGGCAAAAAGTAGACCCCATCTGGGGGAGAGAATCGAAGCGCTGGCAGACGTCGCAAACGTCTGGGGGTTTGGGAACTTCAAAAGGCTCGAGATAAATATTGTCTCGCATCACACCGAAGAAAAGGACACCTGGCCGACTGGCCGCACCGGTTCGCACCGCACCCCGTCCGTGCGTCCCGGCCCAATCGCTGATCATGCCGTAATGGACGAACCTCGGTGGTCGGTGAAGGTGAGAGCCACGCTGTTGCAACATCAGCCGCTCGGCCCAGCAGGACGCAGTGGAAGAGGTGGGAGAGGTTCGGGGCCCATCCGAAACAGCAGAGCGGCGACGGAACGGAAGTGAACGACGAGTTTGTCACAGTGACAGCTTTCAGGTAAGATCGATCCATCCAACAAACTGATAGAGCCACACACCCACTTGGCGGTGCTAAAGGACAACCTTGGAAAGGACTACAGCTAGAAAAGGCTTACAAAAGGACGCTATGGTGGCAGTGCTTCTTGGTGTCTTCGGTTGTGGGCGAACCAAAACTGTTTTTGCACAAACCCTGTCCTTTCTTTGGACGAACAATGACCGGCACGACAACTACTATAGTGCAAAACAATTGGAAAACTATGACTTCTGTCATTCTCTTCGTGAGTTCCGATGTTCATCAAGCTCTGGCAGCCAACGTCCTGGGAAGGTGATGGGTTTTCAGATTCACAACCGGCTTCCTCGGATCCCGGTCGGCTTCCTCGACGCATCCAACGGTCCGGTCCGGTCCGTGCCCGAGGCTCGATGCGCATCCCATTGGATGCAGTCCTTCCAGAACTTCTTGCCGATGAGCACGATCTGTGACAGGCGAGTTGGACTGCGGTGCTGGTAGCTTCTTAGTTACTACAGGTGAGTGCCGATTCCCAGTAAAACGATTCCCAAGGAAGCTTCTATAGCTACTATAGTATATACTATAGTAGCTTCTTGTTCCTAGTAGTAACGTGCAGCGTTGGCGTTCGGGTGGCATCGTGCCGCTGAAAAGGCGCTGCTATAGACGCGCGTGTCATGGCTGCGCGGCCGTGTGTCATGTGTGTGCCGCGGTGCTGCCGATGCTTTGCCAGGATCTCGATCTCGTCACGATTCACCAGAGCAGGGGCTGCACAAACTGTGACATCGTCTGCAGTGCCAACCGTGACTAGTCCCCCCAACGCGGGTCAGATCTCCAGGTAGGCTGAGGTAAAGGACTGGTCCGATAACCTTCGAGGTCTGGGGTCGGCAAGCTCCCGAATCGGGTCGCAACAGCATCATGTGCAGGAATGTTGGCAAAGGGGTTCACCCTTGGTGGTTCACCCTTTGCGATACATCTCCTCAATGATTGGGTGCTTCAGTCTGAGCCTTCTTCGTTGTCCACATCGGAAGAACGAAGAACACCAGAGACCGAACCACAGCGGGTGGTTTCGAGAGACTCAAGCCTACGGCCGGAGGGCCAGGTGATGATGGCACCCAGAAACTCCATGACTCATGATGAAAAAGCCATGAACCTGAACCATGCGTCATTTTCTGTTCATTTCTTCATGCGTTGATGGAAAACCAACTCATAAGACATGAACAGAAGCCACACGGTGGAACCGAACCGAACACAGCCGACCTCCGGTGTGCGGCGGCCCGCTGAGTCCCGCGCGGGCAACTGCCGCTTGATCTTGCCGGTCTGCATGAGGGTGAGCCTGGGCGAAGCGTCTCGAAGCCGATCCTCGAAAGCAGACGTCCCATCACCACGTCCTCGTACTGGATGTCGTTGGTGGTGGTGATGCTGATGATGACGTTGATGATGTTTACCACATCGTTCACAAGCAGGCTGGGACCATGCTGAGCTGCCTCACAGGCTTTATAGAGTTCCGCTTGGTTCAGCGGTCTCTTTCTGGGTTTTCCCTGGTTTGAGTCCGCTTGGCCGCTTGGGCGTAAGTAGGTGAGATCGCCCGCAAAACGCTGGTATTCCAGCCAGGCAGGTCTCACCTCCCGTCCTAGTCCTAGTCGCCAGGCCGTTTTTGGTGTATCAATGGCGTCATGCTGGATGGAATGGGTGCAGGGTACAGGCCATCGGACCCCAAAATGACCTAAGTGTCTTAAGCTTATCATGTGCACCATGCAATTCCATGCACCACGGCCGGGTACAGACCCTCGGACCCAACCAGACATGCCGGCGCCCCGATCCTGACCGGTCCCATGAGACTCTCCAAGAGCCGCCAAGCGGCAGCTCAAACAGCTCGTCGCAGGTGCCGAAGCCACCGGGCGCCACCACCAAGCCCATGCACTGGCGGGTTCGCCGTGGCGTCACCGTTGGGTTCGGCGGGTTCGGCGGGTTCGGGGTGTGCAGCATGCCGAGCTGGGAATCACCGTTGGAGTGGCTGGAGTGGAGCCCCAAAACTCGAGATCGATCGATCTGAATGCCGCAAAAAAAGAACAGTGGTGCCCGTCCACATGTGGTGTAAGCAGAACACGGATGGGTGAGAGTCGCCGAGTGCCCTTGATCCAATTCTCAGTGCGATGCGCGGATGACGAGAAGGATCTTCCATGGCGTCCATGGCTTCGCGTTGACGTGCTCCTTACAACAAGAATAGGTATTAAGTCAGCAGGAAAAAAGCAAGAAGAGTAGGGAAAAACTGGACGTTAAAAGAGTGATAGCGATGGCCTCCAACTTCTAAGGAATTTCTACATCGACTTTTGCTAACACTTGCTTCCCTTGTTTCAAACAAATCTGATTGGTCTTCTCCATGACCTGCATCCACTACCCTGCGGAGCTTGGAGGGCTTGGTCTTTTAGCCCTAGATTTCATCACTCAGCAAAATTCCAGTTGACTACAGTGACATGCTACTGATCCGTCCAATGCCAGTGCTGGCCTAGGCCTAGGTCTTCACTTGCCATGCCCACGATCGCTGCACAAGGAGCACCAGCACCAACCCCACGGTCTGTTACCTTAGCCGTGGAAGCGTAGACCGTCTATGTGACCCCCGGTGTTCCACCACCGCGCGCACGTGACCACCCTTCACCAAGCGTGCTGCAGAGCCTTGAAGGCCATCCAAAACTTCCGCGTGAAGAAGTAGTGGAACTCAAAACCCAAGCTCTCAGTGACCTCAGCAACGAGGGCATGGCACATGAGGACATGACGCATGATGCTGGATTGCCACAGATCCAGAACTCCTTGAAACCCCATCCCAGTGAAGGACTTTCGCATGTTTTGCCATTTCGAACACCATGACTGGGTGGACAAAGGTCGAAGATGAGCCATTGTGCGCAGGCCTTTCCCCTCAGACACAGGAGGCAATTGTGCGCGCAGCTGAAAAGGTTCAGATCGAAGGGACGGACCCCAAAAAGGATTGAGAGAGAGAGAGAGGGATGGGCCGTCTTAATTCAATGACCTCTGTTCTCTAGATTGAAGCTCCTTCCTGAACAACCCCCCCTTTTTTTACGCGACCAATGCGTTCCGGCACCCGGACCCAGCGGTTTGGTCCGGAGTGCCACCGCCGCTCCAGCGGAGCCGCCAACGGTCGAAACGTTGCGCACCGAGTTCTTCACACGATCGACCGGCATGTTCACTCTGTCTGAAGCTGTCTGTTTCTCTTCATCCCGGAGGCTGTTGTAGCTTGTAGCATATATCTGCTTTGAGGGCGAATGTTCTCACCACCTAGCTTGGGATTCAAAGGTGTTTGTCACGCAACCACAGGCCAGTGGAGCAAAAGATGCGTGTCAGGTATTCAAAAGGGCATGGTATTCAAGAGGTGCCTCTTGGCCGTTTCGGTGGTCCTGCCACGTTTGACCCACTCCACGCGGTGGACGCTCTCTATGGGTCGCCTTCACGCCTGGATTGTGGACACCGCTACCCGAGTGCCGGGTGCCAACCCTCGGACGACCACGGTGTGCCTTCCTCGACCCGGGTGCCATGTGATCGATGACTCGGGAGTGTATCCCGTGCCCAAACACTTCATGGGACTGCCATATATGCCGCCGGGGACTCAAAACCACCCATTGATGTTTGGCATATATGGCAGTCCCATTAGTCGTGTCTGGGCCTAAACTGGAGTGCCAAACATCTGACGTGAGCTTTACATGAGTTGAGAAGTAGGCATCCTTCTCGGACTGCACACCACACCCAACACCAACTGTTGCCAGCGCTGTAGCCCTGCCACTCCAAAAAGGGGGGCTGTGTATGGTCGTGTTAGTTTGAATGCCGTGCCAGCCGCCCATCACATGTGCATCTACTCCACTGAACGGTCAAGAACACGGCAGAAGCACAGGGGGATTGGTTGCCTGGCTATCCTGTACTGGAGGTTCCTGTTCCAGTCCAGCGGGACGATTTCAGGCGTTGCGAAAGCTGATCCAGTCCAGCGCACCATCGGTGCGCTCCAAATCCACTGGGTTCGTGTGCAAGCGTGGAAAGGACCACACACCCCACAGCCCACAGCCCCAAAATACCATGTCGGAGGACACTTGGCCAGCTCCATCGCTTTGTTACGGATCAAAATCCCGCGCATGCCACTTGCAGTGATGCTTCATCCAAATACTGATCAATCGCCTCGCCCTTTGTGACGGGTGGGTCACGGTCGGTCAAGTGACAATACAGAACAGACTGTGTAAAGGAAGCGACAAAAGGTGAAGAGTTTGGAGCCACGACGCAGGCAACTCGAAAACCAACGCAGGCAACCTGATAAATCTCACCAAGAACGGCCACGATAGGTCACTATGTGGACAGGGGTTCCGTACTAAACACTCCACCCGGCCGATCGCCGTTTGCCCAGCGGCGTAGGGGTTCAAGCCGTCCTCGAAGGGCACTGAGATCCCGAAGCCTGCGAGCCCAAAGGGGGAGGGTCGGAGGGGTCGGCAGGCGACGCCCAACGTCGCTTTTGGTGGCGGCTGCTCTTCCAAGTTGAGCGTATGGTCCACTCAAACGGCCGGTCGAAGGTGATCCTACCGCCTGTGGTTCGGTCCAAAAGCTCCGGACTCAAGCCTCCCTTCGGGTCGGCACTAGTGAAGCAGGACGACTGAGCTCCCCAGAGCTTCCCCAGCCCAAACGGAGCGAAAAGCACTGCACATGTCAACGATGAATCAAACTCCCCCAGACATGGATTGTAAAGACCCTCTTCATCTGGTGGCTTGAAATATCCTTCAAACATCTTCAAACCGTCCATCCATTGGCAGGGATCTGAACCCAAAAAAGGTCAAACTCCAATGCGCTCAGCCGTGCTTGGCCGAGGCAGTCGCACCATCCAGGCACGCAGTGCCACGAAAAAGAGAGGGAAGGAGGTCGTTGGAATGGCCCCTATGGACGCACCTCTTTGGTGATGCGCCACGGTGGGCCATGTTTTGCTGGGGCGATGTGGGGTACTTCTTGGGGGGCCAAATCGATCGCTTCGGCAAGCTGAAGGGCTGAAGAGCGCTCCCTCTCTCCTTTCAACCTAAGAGCGATGGCCTCCAACCTAAAAGCGATGGCGTCCAACCTAATAGTTGGAATCCACCCTCTGTAGTCTTGTGGCAACACACTTCCGATGAGCCCAAAACGATGGCAAAGACGAGTTTCTTTGAGAACACAGCGCCCTGGTTTGAGGTCACCTAGGCCGAAAGGCAACTTTGACGAAGCTGGTTTACATCGACGAATTTATCCGTGTTGCTGCATTTTCTGAAGTCTTGCTATCTATTTAGAGGGGGTGTTCCAGCAAGCCATGTTAGAGAGTCGGAGCTGTGGTCCCTCCCCTTCCTCCTCGCGAGAGCCACGCACGTTGGTCTCGCCTATAGACTTCCCCTTCGCTTGCGCGGCTCCCTCGTTGGCCGCCGCCATCATGCCAGGCCCTCCGCCTGTCGGTTGGTCACTACAGGCGCAGAACTGCTAGGGCTCCGGACCCATCCAGGTGGATCATCAGAGGGTTCCCTACACAATCACTATGTTGGAACTGGCGCAGAACTGCTAGATCATGACCTAGAACTCTGAGTGGCCTCTATGTTTGACCCGAAAACCACCCATCCAACTTCTCATCCAAAACAGGGGTCATGTGGGTTCCAGCTCTTCAGACCTCTAGGCGAAACCAAAGCCGCGACCGAGCGCGACCGCGCCTGTGCCCACGTGGTACTCGGGCAGGCCCTGCTTGGCGCGGTTCTGGGTCCAAAGAGTCAGCAACCTGCGGTTCCGCTGAGCTTTTTCGCACCGATGGAAGGAATTCCGATGAGCGTTTTTGGTTCCGTTCGTAGCTTCTTGTTCCGTTCGTAGCAAGAATGCTACTAGGAGTAATGCCCTTTGTTACTAGTAGCGATGCCCTTGCTCCTAGTAGCGATGCCCTTTGTTCCTAGTAGCTTCTTGTTCTTGCTGCAAAAAACAGGTGATTTCTGGATCTCCATTGGTATACTGTCGCGATTTCTGGGCGATTTCGGGTGACTGGCGCAGCATCTGGGCCCAGTAGAAGTCTCTGGGGATCTTGTGGTGTCACCGGCTCCAAGAAGGGCTCCAAGTAGTGCTCCCTCCCGGCGTGAGGGTCATCCTCAAATAAAAAACAATACAATCATGTTGTTATTTTAGTTATTTCATTACAATGCATTGTATTGTACTACTGTATGTCTTTATGTTATCGTATGTGTTTTATACTATACTATCTTGAACTATACCATACTATTGCTAAATATGATACTGTGCCTATAGGCCATATCCGTACACTATATTGCATTTTCTAGTATTGTTTTTATACGTTTATGTCATATGAATTATATTGTTTGGGTCTGTCTATCCTAACACCTTAACAGTGGATGATGATGGTTCAGTTGCAGGCCTTGTTCAAAAATAGTGAACGGCCTCGACTGTTTTTGTGACACCTGACTGTTGCAGGTCAGTTTGGACAATCCCAACTACCCAGACACTCCATGGGACTGCCATATATGCTGCCCCATTGACCCCCAAAACCACCCCTGGCCTTTTCTCGGCAGTCCGGACTGGCAGTCCCATTAGTCGTGTTTGGGTTATATTGTAATAGGTAATAGTTGTTATATAGGTTATAATTAAATTAACTAATAGCTTCTTGTTACTACTAGTAAGGCACTTGTTACTAGTAGCGTGGCACTTGTTACTACTAGCGTGGCACTTGTTACTTGTAGTAAGGCACTTGTTTCTAATAGCAAACATGGTACTATGTTTTGGCCCATGTCGTCCGATTGGAAACCGTGTCAGATCGGAAGCTGAGTTTCGGCGTCGATCCCGCGACAGGCATTCCGGTTCACTCAGCCGGTCTGATCTGCTTACGACCAGGAGAACAGGCTTCGCTTCTTTGCTTCGACCATCTGGTAGGGCATGTTTCTTGCCCGCCCTTCACGGCGATACCGCCGCTCGGGACTGGCCGGTCACTCGGTCGGCACAGCGCCTGCATGTTTCTCGCACCACGTCGAACATGCCGACCTGCCCGCGTCGGTCGCGAAGGGCACCAGCGTCGAGTGGCAGGACTGGCAGTTCCGTCGAGAAGGCCATCTGGAGCACGCAACGTGTTGCTCCCTCATTGCAGGAGGGACTTTTGAGGTACCTTGCTACTTCCTTTTCTCAGCGGTTGTTCATGATCACCCTCCGTCATCAAATAAACGTTCAGACAAAACAAGAACAGCCTTTGAGATTCCGATCGGACGGGATTTAAGGGACCTTCCAACCAAGGGGTCTGTGTGGCCGCAATAAAATCCTGTCCAAACCTAGATCTCAGTTTGTCCAGCCTCTTGCAGAAATCCAGAAGCCTGAAGTCAGTAGGGGTTCATCAGTCAACAATGATTTTTCCCCAAACAGTTTACTGTTAGGGGTTCTCAATGCTTTAAAGAATGGTCGCCTTGGTGCTGGATGGTCTGGTCGGGTTCCCGGCCGGCTTGTCTCCCACTTCCTTTCATTTGTCTCCCAGTTCTTTTCATTTGTCTCCCAAGCTGGGTGCTTGTGGTCGGGTTCCCGGCTGGCTTGTCTCCCACTTCCT